CACAAGAAAAACACACAGATAGAATCCCTCGTCCAGACATTTTTATTACAGACTCAATCAACAGGACGCGTAATTAGGTTTAATTGCTACGATGGGTTTTATAACGTCCAGACTTAATTACTTTGATAAGTCGCGGTTATCCAGACGCGATCACGCACCATCAGTCTCTGTAACGAAGCTGGATCAAATCAGGTTATGATTTGGTTATAAAAACACTGGTGATTGTTGCCGGGGGCTACAGTTATCTAAGTTGATTCTGTTCTAACTAGGTCCTTTCAGTAAATAAGACAGACTCTTACAGCTTATATACCTCAAGCATTTTATTCTCACTTAACTACTTGTCTAAACCCTGACAAGATCTTAATTTGTTCTGAATTCTTGGCCAAAACTTTTAATTGTATTCAACTGATGAAAAAAAGAAAGTACAATGCATAAAATTATGCCTACTAGAAAATGATTTGCTAAATTTCCATCCATGAAAGCAATCAAATTCTCTGAAGTTTAACCCCCTCATAAAGAGAAGAATACACCTTAACATAATTCCAAGCAGTGTGCAATGAGGGAAGTTTTTCTCAGGAAGTATTAGCCCACTCTTTATGGCTTTCCAACTGTCAAGGGATCTTAAAAGAGAACAGCATCTAGACAGTCCTTTGAGCAGTTATTCTACGACAGTAATAGCCTACTCTTTGTGGCTCTCCAACTGAGGTCTTCAAGAGCACAGCCTCTGGTACAGACAAAACCACTTCTACAAAGGACTCTGATAACCTTTAAGCCTAGCTAAATAACTGTCAGAAGTGACCAACTGAAACAGAGAAACTCTGATGTCAAAAGAATAAAATATGTATAAAACAGTCTGGTACGTCTTCAGAATCTAGTTCCAGACTCTTATTTTAATAATCATTCTATTTTTATGACGTTTTCCAAATGATTGAACAGAAGAAGTGATTTAACTGAATGATAAAAAGAAAATTGTGAATAAAAGATATTGATGAGCCTACCAAACATTGTCTTCAACTGACTAGAAGATTGAAACAGTAAGCCAACATTGAGCCGAAAGATAACAATGAGCCACCATTGAGCCAAAAGATATCAGTGAGCCAGAATTGAGCACAAAGATAACAGCGGGCCACCATTGAGCACAAAGATAACAGTGAGATACCATTGAGCACAAAGATAACAATGAGCCAGTAGTGAGCCTAAAGATAACAGTAAGCCACCGTTGAACAGAAAGATAACAATGAGCCACCATTGAAGATAACAGTAAGCCATCGTTGAACAGAAAGATAACAATGAGCCACCATTGAGCCAAAAGATAACAATGAGCCACCATTGAGCCAACCAACAACAGTGAGCCACCATTAGGCACAAAGATAACAGACAACAATGAGCCATCATTAAGCAAAAAGATAACAGATAACAGTGAGCCACCATTTTGAAAAAAAGATGAGCCACCATTAAGCCTGACCAATCAAATTTGTCCAAAAATCTAGAGAAATGTTAACACACATTTACCTCAATATCTCCTTGTTATTGAAAGAAAAAAAATTGTGCTGAATGTCTGAAATTATATATTGAAATATAACCTTACATTTAGTGGACATAACTTTTATTTTTTCAAACGTTTCCTTCCTTAATTTGACTTTCGTGGCTAATTTTCATATCACTAATGGTCTATCAGTCTGGGTCATTGACAAGTCCGAAATGTCAAGAGTCAAATTGGTGTGAAATTCATTTAAACATAATAACTTAAGCTAATTCTATAATTTTTCACCAATTTCTACGTAATTCCTCTAAAACATATCAACTATTTTCACAATAGACCTATTAGTTTCAATTTGGCAGTATGCTCAGACATCACAAATTCAAGCTAACCAATTTTGAAGCTCTCGAAAATAGTGGTCAATCTTTTTTACTGTTATGTTTGTGACCTCCTAAAACATAACAGGTATTTTTGAAAGGAGGATCCAAATGTTTAAGGTGTGATGCCCAATTTTTGGCAATCTTTTATATGTGACATTACTAATTCAAAAGTATTTAATTCATGTCAAAAAAATTGCTCAAATTGATCCATGAGAAATTCTCAATTCCGTTGGACAAAACTTTCGTTCTGTTTTTATATTTAATTGAGCCCTCTCCGGCTCTGGGATTTTGTGACACGAACAAAAGGTACATTCAGTGTCTAATGTTTCTCGGAATAAATTTTTTGGATGCATCACAAAATCCCAGCATGAAGAGGGCAGAAATTTGATTGGCTGACAGTGTTCAATGTTCAAGAAGCCCGTCTTTAGACCCAAACTGAAGTGGCTATATTAGAAATAAAAGCTAATAAAAAACAGGAATGAAAGTTCAATTAGACTGTATTAGACTATAAGAAAAGGAGAAAAATTCTAGCAATGATGTGAAATATAATGACAGAATTATTCCCAGCAATATATCTATCATTATAATTGACAAGGATTTTTACACCTTCTAAACCAATATAACAGAAGGTAATGTGGGAGAGTTTTCAATGAGGTGATAATAGCAAGACAAATCATGATAATTCTCTTTCAGAGCTTTTAACTAGTACAGCACACTAACAGACTACAGTCATTAGGTTGCCTGGTAAACTAGAGTACCGTTTCTGCTGACCTAAGGCACGTGTTCTCATCCACTGACCTAGGGCACGTGTTCTTATCCACTGACCTAGGGCACGTGTTCTCATCCACTGACCTAGGGCACGTGTTCTCATCTGCTGACCGAGGACATGTGTTCTCATCAAATGACCTAGAGCACATGTTCTTATTCACTGACCGAGGGCATGTGTTCACATCCGCTGACCTGGGGCACGTGTTCTCAAACACATCAAATTCAACTCAAACCTCAGATATATCAATCTATTCCTTAAGGCACAATGTCAGGCTTTCCAAATATTGGACTAATTCTCTTTTGATAAACAATATAACAGACTAGATCTAAGTTGGTATTCTGGGCTCAATTCATTTATATTGATGTTTACGTCTGGTGATATAAACAAATGATTTGGGTTACCCATTGATTATAGGTAAGTTCACCTTATCAGAACCTCTCACATGAATCACTGTGATGGGTCAAAAAACAGGTCAGTATAACCCCTCCCTTGAATTGAAAGCCAATTCACAGTTCCAGTACTTCTGAAGACTATTTACATATATTCAAGACTCAAATCAATTAGTCTGGTCATGTAGTATTATAGATTATTTTGCTATATGATATAGTATCTATTAATAATTAGAGAGTAATTAACACCTCAGCTGCTTCGTTAATTATCTCAGATTGATTAGAATTAGCGCCAGCCTGAAAATAGATCTTAGAACTCTGAACTTAGATCCTGAAAATACCAATATTTACTACTATTATTAACTTTTGCCCTAAAAAGTCTAATGTCTAATGCACAACTTAGTTTTTACTCAAATTCTTTGTAAAATTGCAAGATTAATGTTATAATGACAGAAACATTGTGCCTTATAGATGGTTTCCTTATTTTTTATTGTCAAATTAAGCAAACTATTTGATTAATTGGTGTTTCTTATGAATTATCATGTATTCTTAATCATTATGTTCTTATTGCATATAATTAAGAATTTTAACCAATCATAAATGTCCATGTATGTAGTCTGGATGAAAAAAAAAGACTTTTTAACCTTTCTTGATCGGTCACTCATTGGAATTCTGCTGGTAATTCTCTTCTAATGTAGTTAATTATGAATTAATTATGGACATGTGAGACAAACTGGTATTTTTCCAAGTCATTAGAACACCTCTACTTTCTATTCATATAAATATTAGCCTTTTCATTTTCATAAATAAAAATAAGGGAACCCATCTTTAAAAAATAGATTGATATATTTTATTTTGATACTTTCATCACTGCATCTGTAATAACTGATTTAAATTTGGGTAAAAACTTAGCTAAATATGAAAATAGTCGATTCATAAATACTTTAGTCAGTCTATTCAACAAGATTTATTATTCCCATATTTTCAAACATCTGCCAAAAATAATTCTGACCATTTGTCATGAAGAAGATAAAAATTGGCAAGTGTTTGAAAATCTGTATTGCATGACTAATATACTTTTCAGTTAACCGAAAAATTCTTTAATATTACATAAGAATTAAAACAACAATCCTGCAAAGCAAGAAACTTTGTGCATGCAGAGCCTGTGCTCACTGGAGACTTTGGTTACAAATAGGGAGTAAACTGACCACATTGGGGGACAACTATCAAGGTTGAGCTTCAAAATATGACAGCTCTGTGGAAGCCCCCAAGAAATGCCTGGCTTTCTCTTAAAAAAGTTGTGAAAACTAGAATTTGATTTAGTGCATTCTGACAAATATATTAGAGCAAAAACGTTATATTTTCAAATCTTTTACAAGTGAAGTAGAGGTACAAACCATTTTTCCAGATGACAAATACCGATTTTCAGTCTATAAGCTAAAGCTTCTTAAACAGGGAGGGCCTACATGTGGATAGATGACTTATTTGAACTGTTCATAAAGAGATCAAGAATATATCTCAGTCAGTTCAACTAATGTATTCTGAAATAACTAGGTAAATGATGGCATAAATCACCCCCCTGACAGATTTACAGACAAGTTTAAATATAGTTTAAACCCTGGAATATTAGTCATTCCTGGAAATGGTAACTGTCAAAGACTGAAGCACTTTCTACAAGACAGCTTAACTTACAGGCAACATCCATCAAAACGGATAAGACCCTAATCAGTTAAGCTTACCAAGTGACCAATAATATACTATTTGATTCAGAAGCATTATATTTTTCAAAGCCCTGGCCAATGCTTTTGAGACACCTCAATATTCCTATGAATTTTCAAAGTAACAAATATACTCTATTTATTCAATTCAGAAGCATAATATTCTGCAGAAAAGACAACAACAAAAAAAGCAAAATTCAAATCCATTGCCGATGCTTTTGAGACACCACACTACTAAATATAATAGTAAATTAATCTTTATAATTAGTACCAAGTGAATAATGTACTATTTGAACCAGAAGCATAATAATTTACAAAGAAAAACAATTTCAAAGACATGGCCAATGCTTTTGAGACCACACTACATATAACAGCAAATTTATTGCCAAAACTGGCACCAAGTGACTTAACTATATATAGGGCACGGTACCTCAATAACCAATGACTGTAAACAAAGAAGATATTTCCAGTCATCTCTACTTCAAATGACTAATTTTGACTTTCTGCCAGGTCAAAACTGTGCTCCATAAACCAAATTTCTTATCTTTGTTTATGTATTATAGAAGTTAGCTTGCCGTCTTGGGATTCCCCTGCAACCCACACTTTTCTCTCTATATAGGACCATAACTTTAAACCGAGACCATCTATTTTTGAGGGTGACATTAAAGAGATTGTAAAGAGGTTTTTTAAATTTTTTATGTGTATCAGGTACACTGATAGCATCAATTTACACCCTTCTAATTTTCAATCATTTTTGCTTAAGCTGTTACTTAAGGCTTAAACTGCTTCACCCATCCTAGATTTAATTGGAAAGATTGTTTTCTGTCTATATTGTCTACCGAATGATATAATACAAGCAAGACAGACTTAAACAATATCCATTACAATATCTTGTATTACTGGCTGATGTTTATTCTTCCTCCTACAATCTTCAGTCATATATCATTAAATATCAGAGAGTCAAACTCTCACACGATCTTCTTCATAATGTCAAGTTATAACTGTGTCTTGACTGCAATTGTATTACAGAATTTGTAAAAGATGCAATTTGATTGGATTGTACTCTACTGAACACAGCCAACCAGAGTTTCTGACTACACCCGTAGCCTAATTGTTTAAATCTTTCTGTAGGGGCTCTGATTGGCTGTATTCATTAGCATACAATCCAATCAAATCACTGACTTAGCTATCTTCTGTGATACAAGAAAAATAGCTATTGCAGTCAAGGTATAAGATGCAGAAACCATTGTTTTCAAAAACTATAATTAATTGTGTTATCAAATTCTTTTCAGGCAAAATTTTTTAGGCAATCATCCTTCAAAGTGTAAAGTCTAAATAACAACATTATGACAAAGGTGCAACTTTCGACAACATTATCATTACAATCTATATCATAACACCCAATAAATTCTTAATAGTCGGTCATAATCTTGTACCAATTACATCACTGATAAAGGTCAAGGGTCAGATTAGATTAAGGTCAAGGGTCAGACCATATTGTACTCTGATGTAATTATGACAAATATTTAAACCATTCGGAGTATATAACCCAATTAAACAATTCACTTGTTCAAATCATAACAATCATGTACAGTACTGAAAATATCTCTATCAGATCTAGATATAAGGGGGTGAAAGCAGACATATGGCCCACTCACGTAAACACTGGCCATGGATTCAAAATCTTACAAAGATATTTATATAACCAATTGAATTTATCAAAGGTTTAAATAGTATTAAATCATAATAAGGGAGAGGCTGGGTAAATGAAATAAAAAGATATATCAATGATGCATATGAAGTGTAACATTTAAAAAATCAGGGATGGGCTAATTGAGGTAAGTAAGGTAATAAAAAACATTGAACTTGGTAAATAACAATAGCAATCTTAAATAGAACAACATGTTTATTTAAGTTCTGTTTTAAAATATCAATCTAAAAAGATACACTACACTATTCTTTAACAGTTAAAATCTGAAAGAGGTTTTTTTTATATAGTACTACACTATTCTTTAACAGTTAAAATCTGAAAGAGGTTTTTTTTATATAGTACAGCACTATTCTTTAACAGTTAAAATCTGAAAGAGGTTTTTTTATAGAGTACTACAATATTCTTTAACAGTTAAAATCTGAAAGAGGTTTTTTTATATAGTACTACACTATTCTTTAACAGTTAAAATCTGAAAGAGGTTTTTTTTATATAGTACTACACTATTCTTTAACAGTTAAAATCTGAAAGAGGTTTTTTTATATAGTACAGCACTATTCTTTAACAGTTAAAATCTGAAAGAGGTTTTTTTATAGAGTACTACAATATTCTTTAACAGTTAAAATCTGAAAGAGGTTTTTTTTATATAGTACAGCACTATTCTTTAACAGTTAAAATCTGAAAGAGGTTTTTTTTAGTTTATGTGTATTGGGGACACTGATATCATCGATTTACACCATACTGTTTAGTCTTTGCAGGTCCCCTTTTCATTATTACAGAAGAACATGTAAGAAAAGGGTGTGTGTATGAGTATGAAACCGCAATATCGGTTCTTTCTTTCAATAGTGATGTCATAAAATACAAAGTGAAAATGCAAGAACCACAGAAGTCTGACAGTAAATTGATTGGTGCAAATCAATGCTAGAATATTTCTGTAATGCCCAGTCGGACAGTGGTATCAAGTGAGTTATATAGACACTTACCCTGGTTCTTTTAAAGAATGTAGAATAGTCTGATTGTTTTCCATGTCCACTACACATTTTGTACCCAGTTCTTTCTCTGGAAAATACAAAATTTTTTATCAAATTGTAGATGAATCAAATGCTTGATTTTTACCGTGAAAAGTGTAATTTTTTTAATATATTGTATATATGAATTAAGTGCCTGCTTGTCATCCTTGAAAGTGATAGTATTTTTATTTAAATTGCAAATGAATCAAACGCCTGATTTTCACTCTGAAAAATGTAATTTTTCTATTACATTGTATATGAACCAAATGTGAGATTTTCATATTGAAAGGTGTTCAAATAATTGAATATAAAGCAAACAAAAGGGACTGTCACACGGAAAAGTGTTTGTCTTTATTAAATTACAGATGAACCACAAGCCTGATTTTCATTCTGTAAGTGTTATTAATTGGGCTAATTAGAACTGAGCTTAATTAATCGGAAGATTCTAATCAACAGAGATGCTAAATCTTAATTAAAATTCACACAAAAACAAAATTTTAATTAGAGAAAGACCATTTTCAAACTATTACTAATGAGTAGTCTAACTTTATTTATTGCTTTCAGTTAGTCTGCAACTTGCTGACTCTTAGTCAGTTTAAGCTTAAGCATATAGGTATATCAGAAATATGTAACAAAGCTCAAAATAAGCGCATTGTCATTGCTTAAACTGAACAAATTTTTACTATCTTAATGCCAAAACATAAGTTAATTTCGGAATAAGTTTACAGCCAATATTCAAGACCAAAGGCTACCAAGAAATTTCCATTTCTGACTAATTTGTATTCCAATATGAATCTAGTGTCACAGACAACCTGACATGAAACATGGAATAATCAAAGACATTTATAGGAATATTGGAACATTGGACCATTTTGACATTTAAATCCCTCAGTCAGACATGACTGGAGATCAGGCCTACAGTCAAGTTAAAATAAATAAAGAATAATCCAAAATTTTAATCTAATAAAAAAAACTTTGAAAAATTTAGTTGTGTAAATTTAGTTTAGAAAAAAATTCAAAGTCAAACAGTTATAAAATCAAAACACGGTCTACAAAATTCACGTTGTCAAATGAGGGATAACAAAGAGAAGTCATAACAAAATTTTTATCGACAAGTGTTTGAATGACATGACATGACACTACACTGGACTGCCACTGACACTAAACACAAAGTGACACCCACCTCTCCTGTTAACAGGCCTCACCCTCACAGCCACTTTGATTTTATCCATCTTGAAACACACCCGAGTTTTAATCCTAATTCACAAAATTTAGTCCAGTTTATTCCGAGTTAAGTTGTTTATTCACATAATGAGTAAAATTCCGTCAAACATCGTCTACACCATCGCCATTTTGATCATTTTCATAATAATTCAGGTTCAGGGTCAGGCGCGTGAATCATACTTCCGGTAAAGGTCAAATGTATTGATTATCCAGACGTACACGACATTTCACTATAATGAGACAGTCTTGTAGGTCAAGTCTATAAAAAGGGAAAATTTGTGCCTTCGATTGAGGATTCTTCAACTTCTTAAGGGCACCATTTTGCGAAAAATGCCAAAAAACAAAGAAAATCCTTTTTGAACCTAACTAGGAATACTTCAGATTTGCAAAAGAAAATTAGGAGAACACTTTTTTTATTAGACACATTAGGCCTATATGTCTAATTTCTTGAGAAACTGCGAAAAAACTTTACATGGGAGATAACCCGTGGTCGTCTTATTTAGACTCTGACAACAGCTACTTCGGCTCTGACCACAGTTAAATAGGCTATAATCGCATATAAGATGGGAGATAACTCGTGCTCGTCTTATTTAGACTCTGACCACAGCTAATTAGGCTCTGACTACAGTTAAATTGGCTACGGTAACAGATTATATGGGACATAACTCGTGGTCGTCTTATCAAGACTCTGACCACAGTTAAATCAGCATAACTGAAGGGAAATAACTCTTGTTTGTCTTTTAGACTCTGACAACAGTTAAATAACCAAAATTTCATTATATGGGAAATAACTCGTGGTCGTCTTATCTAGACTCTGACCACAGTTAAATTAGTATAACTTAAGGGAAATAACTCTTGTTTGTCTTATTTTGACTCTGACCACAGTTAAATAGCCAAAATTTCAATACAGGACATAGGCAAATATCAAAGCCACCTTCATATTCTAATTTGTAATCGTTAATTAAAAATGTAGAAGATGTCAAGCCCACGGTCGAACATACCTTGTCCTTCCGGCTACAACCCATCCCCTAATACTTGAGCTCTGATGAATGGCTATCCGGATTTAGCCAAAAGGTCAAGTCGTATTTATTATTCAGTCGTCTGAAAATCGCACAGCGTAACAACTTGTTTCAGGTTCTGATTTAATATCAAACATATTTTCCCCATTGTATACTGATAAGCTTTGGACAGTTGGTAAAGATCCGAGGCGTTGACGAAACAGTTGCCCAATGTGATTTCACAAAGTAGTTTCTGGCACCCAGACTTCTCTGTCTTTGTGCGTGGATAAATATCAACATAAAATACAGAATTAAAAAACCACAAGGTTTCAACAATTTACATGGTCATCATAAGGTGAAATGAGCATTCTATGCAACAGAATATCCATGACGTCACAAATCCCTGTATCATCAAATGAATTCCACGATATCAATAAAGCACAATATATCCTTTAAAGTATTGAAAAAGTGAGAATTCTGTCAACAGCTCAGTAACAATGTGTAGAATACGCCATATTTGGCATTAAAAATTCATATGGAAACCGTATTTAATCATAGTAAACATCCCACACACGCAACCGATTGGGACATTAAAGGAAAGGCGAAACTTTTTTCAAACAGATCTCAAATCACGGAATTCCGTGTTGAAATAAAATAAACCTTTCACATTCAATTGATATTTGATACCACGGCATGTGCATTCGGGAGAAAGCCAATGTTCATTCTTAATGGGATTGTAAAGAGGTTTTCTAGTATTTTATATGTGTACCGAGGACACTGATAGCCTCAATTTGCACCATTCCATTTTTCAATCAGACGTCTGTGGTTCCTGCAATTATAGAAATTCTTGTATATGACGTCATGATCGCAAAAGCGTCATCAAACGCTTAGTTTAAGTGGAATTGCAAACTGCCCACAATAAAAGATCCAAAATTCGTCTCTAGCCTTGAAATGGTTAATATGACCGTAGGCCGGTATGATCGATTCTCGCCTCAGGTTGTAGAACATATTTCAACAAAATAACAATTTGTAACTCAGACCGCCCTTGGCCAGTGCTTGATCTTTAGTCACCCAAAGGCGAAATGGTCAAAAAATGATATATGGTGGACACCTACAAATGTAAAACGGTATAATTTTTTGTTTTACCAATCCAAAAAAGCAAGAAGCTTCAAAGGGACAATACTTTTCCCCACCCCACCCAAGACAGAAACGGGACTGAAGACTGAAGACTGGGGACATGGCCATTCAAACGGTCTACCGTGAAAGTTCCACCAGCGCATTTCAGCATTACGGAAACTGACGAGGATTGTCGGGTATTACCGAATGACTGGTAACCTATTCAAAGTTATTCATAATGACGAGTATTATATAGATGACTAACGAATGAATAGTCTATAATATTGCTATCGATTTTCGTTTATGAAACATTTTTAACTAATCATTTCATTCTGTTATCTCGATATCATGTTTGGCCTTCAAACAAAATCGATCGACAGTGAGAATAACAGGATGGCCAGTGAATATCAAAACATGTTATTGGTATAATGGAATCGACAGGAAAGAGGTTATCCTTAAAACGTTACAAGCAAAACTAAAGGTAAGTTAAAGTGATCCGCGATTCAGAATCTGAAATTATTATAGGCCTATTCTGAAAAAATGTGTCTCTTTGTTAACAGTCTCTATCGAGGGCTTTGATATTGCTGATTTTACTTTCATGATACAAAAAATGCCTTCTGATGTCAAGGTATAAGACATAGTTAGTAATACCTTGACCTTGTGAAGATATACCGGTGTTTGAGTGACGTATTATATTTGATATATCCTGACAGATATCATGATAATTATAATATCAATATATATACGTCAGGTCTTTTCAAAATATCACATCCTTATTAAAGGGATACGGCTTTCAAAATATTAAAGGCATTGATAAATTACGATAGAATATCGGGCGCCAACAGGTCCGTACCTACAGGGGGGCAAGTCCCCCTCCCCTTTCGGAAAAAAATGAATTGTCCCCCTGAATAATTCTGACAACCTGTAACTGTAATTTAACACCATGCCTCTCCCGATACATTACTTGTCCCTCCGAACAATCAGGACTACGGGCCCATGGGCGCCAGGTAAGATATGCTTACTCTTCTAGACACCTGATACCACTTTTCATTATGAAATACTCAATCACTTATCATTGATATACTTCCTCATAGAAAAGTTCATTAGCTGCTAAGGATATTTCGCCAATATCTTTTATGGATTTCGGGTTTCATTTTGCGGTTCGGATCGTTAGTACTTGGTTTATTTACAGTATATCACTTTCAATTTGAAATTCCAACGTTATGTTCGTGTACAATTATCTGAAGCAATATTACGCTATAGAGAAACAATGACATTATCTCCTTTTAGTCTTTATATAGTCTACCAATACAAAAACAACTATAATCTAAAATCGATGTAAATATATAGGTGCTCTTATCGATTCTTTGTCCATTTTTAATGTGCTTTTAATTGATATGAAATGGAGTTTTACCCACTACTGATCCGTTTGGAAAAGCCTGAACCCTCCCACCCAACATTTCCACCCACCCCTCGCATCTAGAAATGTAAGCAGTAGCAAGACACGGCCATGATAGTTCTAGAATCAACCCCCCCCCCACCCCCCTCCTCCACAACCCATCCAACCTAAATCAATCCAACCCCCCCCCCCCCCCCCCCTCCGTTTCGACCAACTGGAGCATTATCCCTTAGTATATAAGATACATAAATAGCCTACCCATAAACTAATTTGACAACATTGTGACATGGCTTCCCCAAATCGTCACAATATGTAATAAATTATTTTTAATTTCACGCTTCAGTGATACCCGCACTAGTTTGTGGTATATTGTAGAATACTAACCTTAAAGCTATCATGAAATTATAAAAGAAAAACAGAACAACAAAAAAAAACTGAAATGACTGGAGTGACGCTTTTGGTTTATTTCGTATTACTGGATTACAGAGAAGTTTTTTGTCCGATTTCGCTAAAAACTAAACGTTTTATAAAGACATTATTGCATATGCAAATGTATGATTAGCAGCTCGTGCTATAGTGACGTCATAAAACGATTAGCTTTAGTAGAATTGCAGGAACCACGGACGTCTGATTGAAATTGGAATGGTGTAAATTGATGCTATCAGTGTCCCCATAACACGTACAAATTTTAAAAAATCTTTTTACAATCTTTTGAAGATTTGATACTAAGAAAAAAATCCCCATATTGAATATTCCTTTTGTTATTTCATGATAGCTTTAAGGTTACTGTTCGTGATCGAGTACCTCCTATACTAGCTAACTTTAAACAGTAACGGATATACTTAGTCAAGACTACTACAGAAGTATTTAAATTAATATTACTAATAAGTCAACATCTTCAACGGGTTCGGATTATCATTTCAGCACGTCGTCTTTTTTGGATAGATTTCTGTAAGGTATAGATTCATTTCAATTCTCACTAAGAAAAATTGTCAAAAAGTTACTCAAAACGGCATTAAATGATTGGATGCTGATGTTTTTAACGTAAAATACGCCAACAAAGACCATAACTTTTGAATTTTTTTCGTTATTAAAAGCAATTACGTACAAGCTTTCAATGGACTTTGAACTTGAAATAGGATACATCAATACAAAGGATGGACGGCAATTATTTTGTTTTGCTCGCAGTTATTCGAATAACACCATATGAATTATTTATTTCAAATATTTCCTTACTGTATAGACGTTCCTACTCTTGTAGAGCACTTGATATCACTTATGTATTGTGTGTGTCAACTTAACATTCAATTGGGACCTTCTCTATGTATGAAATTTGTCATCATCGTGGAATTGTGTAAATTGATGCTATCAGTGTTACTGATACACATACAAAATTTAGAAAACCTCTTTACAATCCCTGTATTATGCAATCGTTCATTTGTTAAAACGCGTCTATTTCTGTGCTTTACGTAAACAAAATTCAAAAATCCGGACACGTTTATTCAACAATGAATAATATTATAATTCAAATAGTATTTATTCAATTTGGGTGTGAATATCACGTTTGTATAACATCCTCCTTGGGCGATAGTTAGTACAACGGTTTGATGTATCGGTATATCAAGGGAACATTTGATAAAATATGGTTGAATGTGTTGCTCTTCCGGAATGCAATAGCAAACTGAGTAGGGTGGGGCAGGCTTTGACACGCTGAAGGTCATACATTGACACATTGAGATTGACACCCCAAAATTAATTGGCCCCCCTACAAAGCTCCCCCCCCCCCCCACGCCCCGCCCCTCGTTCGATCACTCACCCTTCTCTGGTATATCTCCATACCCTAACATATGAATTAAATAGACCCCCTACACAGTTCACCTCTGTAATTATCTAAGGTAATTGTAGAGTTTTATAGGCGGTCATTTCAGGTTAAGAAAGGTATTTCATCAGGTTAGATCGTCCAGTTAAGGTTTTCTCAGGTCACGATCTTATCTCAACACAAGAAGGATGTAAAACTCCATTTCATTTCATTTAGGACAAACAGACAACGTCCAGCTGTCACAGAGCATGTCTTAGACGGAGTTGCAACTTCGGAGATATAATAAAAGTGCCTAACGATGTCAAGGTATCACACAGAGTTTGGAAAAAAGCTTGTTACTGTGAGGATGAGGAGAATTATTTGTCGTTTAAATTATTTCCTCAATGTACACTGTATAGCGTTGTCCATTTAGCATTCAGCCACAGAATGGCGAAGTGTTTTTCACTTTGGCTTGGATTAAAACAAATCTCATTAGCTAGCGAGCCATTAAAGTTAGAAACGTCACGTAAACGTAAAAAAAAGAAAAACCCGTTTTAAGAGCTTTAATGAAAAGACCATAAAAAATAAAATGAAAGTATAAATTAATGTTGTATTTTAAGGTGTAATTTATCTTTAAGCGTGTCATCCTTACTAATGACTTTCTAAAGAATAAAAAAAACCAGGTCGTTTTTTAGTGGACGTTTTACCTGACCAAAGTGGCTAGAAGGATATTTTTTCTTGATAAAAGGATTATATCTTATGCTTAATTGATAAACACTTTCTGGCCTAAGGACGATCTTTCTATTGAGAGTTACTATTCATCAGATGGCACAGAGATCGCACCTCAGGGAAGTGGGAAGTTGTACAACAGAAAAGTCAGTTGCTCAATAGGAAAGTAAGTCGAACAACAGGAAGTAAGTCGAACAACAGGAAAGTAAGTCGGACGACAGGAAAGTTAGTCGCATAACAGGGAAGTAAGAATTACATCAGGGAAGTAAGATGTACAACAAGAAAGTAAGTCGTACAACAGGAAAGTAAGTCGTACAACAGAAAGTCGTAAAACATGAAAGTAACATGTACAACAGGGAAGTAAGATGTACAACATGAAAGTAAGTCGTACAACAGAAAAGTCGTAAAACATGAAAGTAAGATGTACAACAGTGAAGTAAGATGTACAACATGGAAGTAAGATGTACAACAGGAAAGTCGTACAAGATGAAAGTAAGTCGAAACCATCCAAAGGTAGGAGGACGTAAGACCCGATCTAGGTTATCGAACTAATTAAGTAGAAGATGAATTGTATGTGAATATTTAATTAAGTAGGCTATAACCCGAGGTCATATTATCTTGTAATTAATATCTGGTAGAAAAAATGTCACTGAATTATCTAATAGCTCGACATCATCATTTTCATACCTTATAGACTACATGGTGTTAGATGGTGATGAGAACATAGCCTCATAAAAGCACTGGCCTAGGTCAGAAGCTAAAGATTTATGATAAAAAATAAGGTAGTGGTGTTCACAGAGATCGAAGCATAGGCTTCGGAATGATAAACACATTTTAGTAGGGTGAAAAAACTGTCTACTTTCTTCTTCAGGTTAAGCTGTGAAGTTGATGGTGCTGCAGTTAAGGGGCTTGAAAGGAAATATCAATGAACACCCGAAGGTCATTTGATAAAGAGAATTAGAAAGATCTGCTGTGAGAAGAACAGCGAAATATATGCAAAGGTTATACTGCTCGGAAAAGTGATAAGTGAAGGTCTTACTTGAATCGTGTGAAAGTGTTTTCTTAAAATGCAAAATGACACAAAAGTTTTTGATTTATTTTGTGCTGTTTCTATTATTGGGAAGACGAGGGATTTATGCGGAGACCACTACTATCTCTACGGTCGATGGAGATGCATCAACACCGAACATAATACCGGAAACATCTCCTGAGACCTCAGAAACAACCAATGAGTTTGCTGCAGATAGTCCACCCTCGTCGTCGTCTCCAGAACCAAGCAGTCTTGGACCAACTCCAGAGCCATCCACCAGTCCGGAACCAGAAACTTCCGCAGAACCATCGACTAGTGCAGAACCAGGAACGTTTTCTGAACCAACAACCGCAGAACCGGAAGCGGAAAGTACCTCCAAGCCAGAACCGTCAGCAGAAAGTACGCCTGAACCGGAAGCAGAATCAACAGACAAACAAGAAGATCCGCTCGCAGAGCCCGGCCCCGACTGGGATGTAGCCAAAGAAAAATGGAGTTTCGCTTGGGAACTCCATATATATTTGTACGGATTATTTTTTCTGTGTATAGGCATTTATTGTTGTATCAGTGTAGTTCGGCTGTGGACTCTTGATCGTCTGCTCAGTAGAAAATATTTTCTTACGCTCAATACACTGATAATCGGAATGTGTGCAATTAGGGCAATTTACTTACTCGTAGATGGATACAATTCCAATGGAACATATCACTCCGCGGTCGACTATTTGATGTACGGTTTAGGCTTTCCATTTTTGACGTCTGCCTTCAGTATTCTAATGTTCGCGTTGCTACAGGCAACCAGAATGCAAATGATTCCCCGAACCGTTCAGAGATTCGAAATTCTAGTGACAATCATCGTCTTGCATTTCATCATCTCCATAACAGCAGACGTCGTGGTAGGGCTGGTGGTGGGGATGAAAATAATGCTCCTGGTCTGCCAAATGATATTCATACTCTGGGGACTATTTTTATTCACTGGCTATGCGTATGTCTTCAACAGAGTGTATGGTTCCGCAGTGAAGCGACAGTCCATGATAAGCTTTAGTGATAAATCACGTGACTCAGTGACCAGCCAGGTCAGGACCAAACCAACGTTAAGCCTCGCTGTGAAAATAACACTCGGTACCGCCATATTTGGAATTGTAACCGTCGCCCTGGAAATTTACAGTATCGCTGCCGTTTATGGCATATTTTCCGACCGGAAACCAGATCCTTGGGCCTGGTGGACTTATCATACCTTTCTACGTCTTACAGAATGTTTAATGTGTCTTACGATTAGTTACGTTGCGTCACAACCGTTCCGTTACCGAACTCATCAAAATTGCGAATTTTGTGCTCCATGTCGGAAAGTATTCTGCTGCGACAACAAAAATAGATCTTCAGAAAATGTGCGATGGAGTGACGTGAATAGCCAAACAAATACCACCATGTCGTTCGCGTCTACGACTACGAGTGATTTAAAGACGCAAGAGTCAGGAGATGATTCATTCCGACCAAATTCCAATACCTTGTTAACAGTGAACGAAAGTTACGTGCACGATCATGAAATGTATAAAACGCCAAACGGAGTTAAAGGTGTTTACAGAGTCAACTCTTCGTAATCGCGTTGACAATTTCGTAATTGATCCAGTTTGTTTACATACTACAACTTCAGTTGTCTAAAGAGTAGCCAATGGGCGGTCGTAATGTGATCAATGATTCAACACTGCGTATTATACATGGTGCGTTTAATACTCGGAAGTATATTGTTAATCTTTAGAGAGATTATGAATCTATAAGAACTTATTATCTTGAATATGTATAAGCACATTCCGGAAAATGAAAAATTAGGTACAAATATATTTATTTTCTAAAATTGACTTCTGAATTTGATATGAAATGTGTTCATTAAAGTGAAATGCACGTAAATAAGACGGCAGGATTTCTAATTTAGCGAATATGGATGCGTATTATATTTGGTGCGTTCAGTACTCGAAAATATATAGTTAATTTAAACACTTGTTGTATAAAATCTCTGAAAACATGATTATTGTTTTGTAATTTTGTCTATTAATTTGTTACTCTTTGTTATTCATTTCATTATTTCAATAATTACTTCATATGTATAACGAAAACAAGATTGCACATGCATGTGTCCAATGACCCACTTTCGATTGTTCATTGCACATGCTTGTCCACAGTTAAAATATATACAACAAATAGAATATCACAAATTCACGATCCTAAAGTCATCCGTATGCGAGAGAGACACTGAATTCAATGGTTCAAATTCATACACAACCATCACCAGAATGCACATGCATGTTCGCAATGACCTAATTTTAATTATTAAATTATACTGGGTCTTTGAAGATCAGCCACTTCCGTTTCCTGTTCATTTCAACAGTTCCCAGAAATTCTAAAAACAAAAAACCATCACCAGAATGCACATGCATGTTCGCAATGACCTACTTTTAATTATTAATATATATTGGGTCTTTGACGATCAGCCACTTCCGTTTCCTGTTTAGCCACGTCAGCTTTTAGATTTACTTTAATTTTAGCCCAATTCTTACGGCCCAGCTTTCCGCCTTGTTGGTTTGGGCTAAAGTCTTCATAGTCGTAATCAGGTTCGGGATCGTTGTGGTGAAGACCTTGCTGAAGCTCCTCGACTGTTATTTTGGATTTATCTGAAATGGTGAAATCAACATCAGATATATGGTTGAGAATCGGGAGTTGCTTCCGAAGAAGAACAATTTTTGGACCATAACGGTAGCTCTCTTTGAAGGTCATAAATAATAAAACTGGAACTGCAGAGTTTGTCCCTCCCATCATAATCATCATCCTAAGATCCTGTGTAAATCATGTGGTGGAGCACCGTTCCCTAAGGAACACGGAGGGGTACCTACTTTGGAATGGTTCGTCCCAGCTGTAATTCATGTGATTACCGATCTTCTCTCCCTTCTTCAGTAATTCTCTTCTTAGTTTAGCCGGAGAAACATCCGTGGTGGATTTTGAATCTTTCGTATCTGTTTTCGACCAGTTTGATCTCTGATGCTAAAAATAGAAAAAAAGCAAAGGAATGACGTTCTTGCCCCCGAATCCTTAGCCATATGTATTCTCCGAAACTCAGTCCCAGAAGGGTCGGTATGCCCTAATCTGAATGATATTGGTCAATGCTTTACACCTAGCAACAAGGCACTTCCGGGTACCCCTTGGTTCATTTGGTGTATGAACTAATGGTCATTTACCCTATGTTTGATTTCTCGAGTAAGTTCCTCTTCTTCGTGTCTCATTTCTTTAGAAACGTTGGATTCTAGTTTCAGCTGAGTTAGATGACTCTGTACCTCTCTTATAACTAAAATGACAAACAAGGTCAATGTTAAGAATGCACGTACATTTCTTGAAATAGGTCAATGTAAAAAAGTACGTGCATTTGAGAAACCTTTATCATTAAAGCTCAATGCTTTAAGTGTAAGCACATTTAGATTCAAAAGAGTCCGAGTTCTTCTTAGTGGAATTAACTAATTAGGTCAGAGCTGAGAATGCACGTGCATCTTGAATACTGACACAACGGACCGTGTTCCGAGGGTTTAAAGTTCACTCACCTTCCTGGCTCTCCAGCATCTCCAGGGCAGCAACATTGATGATACACAACCAGACTGGAGCATCTAAAGCCTGGTTCACATCCACACCAAAACTCAGGCATGTTACACACAGCTGTCTCAAGCGTTCCATGTTATACATTGAGGATTGCAGTTCCATCCCAATATGACCTTTTAACTCTTTTAAATCAAAAATCTAGAGAAAAAAGCAAAATAAATTGACGGTGACTAGAATACAAAAAACGAAAACTCGACTCCTATTTTGAGAAACTTGGCCATTTTCTTTTAATACATAAGCTTATTTATTCCACCAATTTAAACAATTTTGATACGAATTTTAAATCCAAAGGAAGTGACGTTGATTAGTTTACCTTTATTTGTGATCTAAACGGAAGTCGGCCTTTACAGACAATGACATCAGCAGAAAGACAGTGATTGGCTGGATCTTTGTAACCAATGGCAACCACATCATCATGACAGTGACGAAATGCCCAAATATTTCCATTTCCGTCTTTCTTTAATGTTACTCCCTGAAAATTAACGTTCTCATTTATAATTGATATACCTCCTCATATGAAAAGTTCATTTGCTGCTACCAATGTATTGCCAAACTGTTCTTTGGGATTTCGGGCTTCGTTTGGTGGTTCGGGTCGTTAGTACTTTAGCTTTTGTTTTTTTTTATGGTACCCAGAAACCATTGTCATTAACGACTATCACTACTTGATTGTAGGCGAACTGGGAGTTAGCTTCGCGATCTCAAAGTGTCACATACAACTGGACATACCTCGTAAATTCGAGATCTAATTCTTGACACCATTTCATCTCGTTGTCTGTTACGAAAGATGCCCAAACCAATCATATCATCTTGATACTCTTCATAGCTACCATCAACAGTCACCTCCTTCTCTGTCAGGTAGAATTTAGCCACTTGCTTTTCTCGTTCCAGATAGATTAACTTACACCAGGTCCCTGGATCCAGCTGATTTCTTCTCTGATGAACCCGGTCCAATTCATTCTGGAATAAATGGATAAGGAACATTTAACTTGCCTTGTTGCAAATATCTCAAAGTGTAGAGTTACCTGATGTGAGCTTGAGATACAAGTTGAATGACTCCTCCGCAAGCTTAAATTCATTGAATGACTCCTCCACATGCTCAAATTCATTGAATGACTCCTCCACAAGCTCAAATTCATTGAATGACTCCTCCGCATGCTCAAATTCATTGAATGACTCCTCCACATGCTCAAATTCATTGAATGACTCCTCCACATGCTCAAATTCATTGATGACACGATTATGCATTCCTTTAGGTCTAGCATCTGCTCGTGTAACTAGTAGTTATCTCATGTCTAAAGATGCCCTCATACCATAGCGATTACCAGTTACGTATGGTTGCCAATAATGAAAGGGGTCATGAGTTCCGAACGCATCTTACAACTCAGCAACATGAGAGTTGCGTTCGAAACTTATGACTGCTATTCTGACTCGCAACCATACGCAACTGGTGATTGCTACGGTGTGTGGGCCCCTTTAGATTCTAACCAACTGAGCGTCCAGAACGGTAAATTGAGCCCTATCATCAGTTGCGGTATTTGTGGCAGCTAAAAGTAAGCTTTACCTGAAAGAAAGCAGCATCCCCTGACAGACTTGTTGGTATCACAGTGTTAAACTCCTCCCGGCTGGTCTGCCTTATATAATGTCTAAGAACCCGATCACTCTCATTTTCACGAGGATGGTGGTACGACTCCATACCCCGTCTACCAGCATAGTTGGAGAACTCGTGGACATAGTCTCTGTCACCTCTCAAACGCTGCCGCCTAGAGTAATACTGTTTCAGGGCCTTATGACGTCGTACTGCTGCCTGTGTCTTCACAACTTTTTGAATTTCGCGCCAATATAAATGATCCAGACGTTCTTCGTGCCACCATTGCATAAATACCTTAAAAATAGAAATATTACATGTTATGGGATGTTGAGGAGGTGTGGCTTGGTGGTAGGAGGTGTGGCTTGGTATTAGGAGGCGTGGCATGGTGGTAGGAGGTATGGCGTGGTGATAGGTGTGGCTTGGTGGGAAATGTTGTTTTGGACTCTTGGGGATTTGGGCTGTAACAACATTCAGCGCGGTTGACCATACCCTTCCAGAACAACCGCCACAGCCAATGTTATGAATTTTAATATATGTACCTTTGGTGTTCCATCTACTGTACCGAATGTTCTAAGATATTGTTTAGCTTAGTTTTCGGATGGCGAACCTACCTCATTTAAGGATCCAGTTAAACGAAAAACGCTTTCATCATATTTTTAACATTGACCAAATTATGGTGATAAAGATATCAATAAAAAGTACACGTGCATTCACCTACTTACCATCTTATTAGAAATAACTAACATGGTTTGATGAATTCCACATTCTCGGACTATTTTATGACACGCATCAGTCAATGAACGCAGCTTGGAGGTTAGTGGAAACGCCAAAAATTTATATCTGGAATTGAAGAAAAAGATATCTTAATCAATAGGGATCATACGATCAAAGAAAAACAGGGTCATATCGTCGACAAAAACCATGAATTTTTGGCATTGGCGCCTTCTTGTTATTTGAGTCTGGACAACGGATTATACATCCAAGACTATAAATGCTGATACCAATCGGACGAAGCAGTTGGACACAATATTACTACCGGTATCCGTTGCGATATGACAGAGGCTGACCATGAGCTGTTTGGTCAACAAATTGGTCCGGGCAATGGGAGTTCCTCGACTTTTCGACCTCAACAGCAGAAGCTTTACCAACCTGCGCACAAATTCTTCTTGAGAAATCCTCGCTGAATATCCTTTCTGTCTGATCTTAATCAACTCCAAAGCTGATGATGCTTCAAGTTGCTTCATCACTGTAGTCGGGTCGAAATAAGGGGGTATATCGGCTGGATTGGGTTTGATGCATGTGATGAGGTGGAGCTTCTTCCCTTCCAGCTGCTTCAGAACGTCGTTGGTACAAGACTGGAAATTCAAGACGAAGACTTTCAGATCCAAGAAAATGGAGTTCTACTGTTTATCTTGTTACACGCATCATTGGATTAAAATCCAGCATCAATATACCGTAGAGGATAGTGAACTGAGATTCAGCTGCTTATCTCATCATATCGGACTGATGGAATGGAGTTTTACGTCCTACTGATCTACATATTATTTCACCCATATTAAATGGGGTTCAAATTTGTATCTGGCCATAATGGAGTTTTACATCCTTGGGCTAATGAAATTGATTACATATAATTACCCTAAATTGCTGAGACTGTGTTTCTCCGGAGTTTGGTCTGAAAAATTAAGAGAGCGGAAAGTTTTAGTGGAGTGACAAGAACCACAGACGTCTGACTGAAAATTGGAATGGTGCAAATTGATGCTACCAGTGTCCCTGATACACATACAAAGTTTAGAAAACCTCTTTAAGCAATGAAACCTAGAAAATTAAGGTGGTTGAAAATGTCTGATACAACAGAAACTTATTTAAGTCTTCGGACAAAAAAGGTACCAACGCTTCGACCCAACTGTTGCCCAAAATTAAATTCCCATTACCTTTGTTGAGAGAACAATTTGGAAACGAGAGGATGACCACTGGAATTTAGGATACCATAAATATCTTCTGATACCACATCTAAGTTCTTGGCTACTATTTCAGCTACCGTATAGTTCACCTACAGAGACAAATAGAGTGAAATATAAGAGCTATATGGTGGCTCGTAACGGCCACTTTGCCACTATCTTGGTCTTCAAGTCAGCGTTGATTTTATGGATGATGGTCCATTGGGGGCCACAAAATTGTCCAAAAATAGAATCAGGCATTTTAGAACAGAATGATTAAAATTTGAAACTGGGTGGCAAATGCGGCGTCCAAAAAGGGTCCATGACTTACTGTCAGTGGGTAACCCCTCTGCCCCCCAACCCCTTTGGATTCGCCCTGCTTATTGCTTACCGTATCTGCAGTATGTACAATAGTAAAATAATTCCCGATTTTATTTCTCAAGAATTTACTCTTCTTGCCCAGATTTTTATTGACCCTTTCCAGGAAAGCGTCGTCTGTCGGCGTTTTAGAGCGGGAAATATCATCTAGGATGCCCAATACACCAGTCTGCAAAAGGAAAAGTTGTTAGCTGATATAGTGACAGGCAACGTCATGCAGTGTACAGTACCGTAAGGTGTTTATTTTCAACATTGGTGGGTCTTTAACGTTTACAGCATGTAGCACACGGGCCCTCTGTTAATAATTTCATCCGAACGACTAGAGGCTTTTTCAATCTGATCTAAACCACCGCGGCTACCGAAACAACGACAGTTTCATGGCTTATGTACTTACCGAATCTAGGGCGTCGATCACTTGTCTGTTGTCATTCCACGCAACCTTAACTGGTATTTTTACCCCCTCGCGCTCACAGTCCCGACTCTCCCCTACAAAAATCTGTGAATAGGTAAACTGGTGGAGCTTTTCAACGAGCAGATTGAAATGTAACTGTTCTAAACTGTTGGTGTTTCTATTTTCAAAGCCTGGTGAATCCACAATGGTAATCTTGTAGGAGTCTTGACTGTAAAAAAAAACAGTAGGGTAAAGTCTGGTTATTTCGTCCCCATGTTAAAGATTTAAGGCTATAGATGGTGCATTGCGTCATTTGTGTTCATGGTTGTTTACATTGTGTTTTGGTCAGTTATATTTTGGAGCAGAGAGTCCAATTTGAAGATAAAGCATCGGAATCTTCCCATTTCCCAGCATATCCCATAATCTATTTTAAGTCATGAGAGTTACCTACCTTTGTCGAGGTTCAGGATTTATAACTGTATTAAAACAATAGATTAACCAATCAAAAAGGCGGGAATATATCGTCTGTAAAATCTTATCACGTTGATTTTCTGCTTCCGGTATCGAGTTTCTCTTCAGGACCACTTTACCTACAAGGAAATTTTATTGGGTCAATACCAGTAATGCACGTGCTTTGACCGAAATTCACTGACATGCTAAACTATGGCATCTTTCCCATGCAGTGTGCAATGAGGGAAATTCCTACGTACCTTTAACGTAAACAGAAGTGTGCAGAAACACTGAAGACAATTCTTGAGGTAGCACGTTCAACAGACTGGCGGCTGAAACAAGAATCCAAATGTGGTTAGGTTGTGTAATTTTATGGGGTTCGTCCCGAAAAGTAGAGGGACGGCATATCTGTCAAATGTTCAAAAAGGGGTGTGGTTTAATAAAGCCCAATATGCACACTCAAATGAATTGATGGATTATGTGAACCACCACTCCATAAAGACATCCACAGAATGTAGAAAAGTTTAACCTACCCATTCCAACCTCGTCGTCGTTGGTTATAACAGCCCCACCCCTACCATCATCATGGAACCCGACGTTACCCAGGTGCAGGAGAGCCGACAAGACACCGAATATTTTATATATATCTTGGACACCTTGCCTTGAAAGCTGGAATCAATATAACTCAGTCAGATCATAATTATATGCAAGCTTAATTTGTTCGTATCGCACAAGTTGAAAGACTTATACCCTTTTCCCCCCGAGGGCCGGGAATTGAACTTCCGCAGTTAGCTGTGGGGTATAAGGGGGATATCTAGCTGAAAGTCTCGCTATAGGTTTATCCAGATCCCAATTGACGTTTGCTTGGTGCTTCCACATGTCAGCCTAGTATCGGCATTCAGCTTGCAAAACAGCTCAGTCGGTTCGCGAGTTGGATTGTCGTCTGCTAGCGAATGGGTAAGAAAAAAGGCCATGACCAAGTGCTTCCGGCTTTGTTAAGGATTTCATATAGATAAACATTACCTGGAAATTTATTTTCAGGTCGTTCTCAACAGTTTCTTTAATGTAGGCGAAACGTTCCTGATGAAATCGGAAATCGTCTTGAGTTGGGTAGAGCGGTACACCTGGTACAGGGGAGATGATTCTGGAATAGACAGTGGTTTAAGGTACTGAGTGCACTGGTAGATGGTAGTGAGAACCAAGGGCATTCGATAAGACTCATACCAACGTGCAGTTGCATTTCTATGAATCATAAGATGGTGGGGGATTAGGAGCCACAGAGAATGTACCCCGCCTTGGCCCTCCGCAGAAAGGCCACTGTATGAAAAGAAATGCCAAGAGATTACGGTCTTGTTCTTACCGGTTTGTCTTTTGAGAGATTCCCTTGAGCTCCACCTCCGCAACATTGCATGTGAAACTGATTCCAAAACGCGCCTGTGGACGCCTATGGTCTAAATTTGACCCCTCATCCAGAAAACCCATCCAATGGAAGTGCTTACCTATATTCGCCGTCTATATAGAAATATTTCAACTCAGTTTGTGACAGACCAGCTATCATATGGTAAAATATGTTAAAATTTTTCTCCCCTTCCATGACGTCACTAATCCTGGATTTCTCCAGATGATATGCGTTGATCTTAGCTGAAATGGTTGAATGGAATGGTGAGAAACGCCAACTAGCGAATAAAACCAATCGCAGCCCTCGACAGAAATGCCCTAGGACTAAATTATATTTCTATCTTGAATGGTTTCTCCCCTGTTCAAATATTGTACTTCCTGTCGAAAAGTTCATAAGGTTTATGTTTTGGTTTTCGCCCATCTTACCTCCTACAATGACACCTAGTTCGTCTACAAATACATCAACAGTTTTGGTGAATCTGCTGGCATTGGTGTTAAACTCCGTGAAAGCATTACCAAAAGCATCCACTAGGTTCAAGACCTGGTAAAGAAAAAACAAAGACTCGTCATTTTAAGTGTCTGGGAACGTTGTTCTTAGTAAAAATCATGACAAAAAAACTGACAAAAACCAAACTAACGACAAATAAAGATGATCAAAGGCCTACCTCTGTTAATTTGTCACCTAATGGAGACGGTGGGAGACCATTTTGTTTGACTTGGTGGTAACATTCTCTGATCAGCTGAGATACCAACATTTTACAACTTTCAGTTTTACCTATGTATCAAAAACGAAAAAGAAATGGTATTATACTGATTGGGCCAATGAAGACGTGCTAGCCCGTTCTTTGTCGGTTTCAGCTACTGATAAAGGATGGACATTGGACTTGATAAGGCATTTAACTGCCCGAATCATAGGAGCACATACGTCCGTCGTTTTGGAGCGGTGGAACAAGGAAAATAACAAGACCTAGTACGATGTCAATAGCTTACCTGATCCCGATTCTCCCAGTAATACCACACATTGTGACTGTTTGTGAAAGGAGACGTGATTGTACACACGATGAGCTATAGAGTAGATGTGAGCTGGGAAATCACTCAGTTCCCGTAGATGACAATACTTCTGACCAATCTGAAATGAAATGAATGGACTTTGATGCGAATACAAGCAAGGACTTGGGTGGGTGAGGGACTGAAAGTGCTACTGCATCTGCTGCTACTGCATTCCGTGATAAAAGAAAGGCGTGTATTGCAGTCATGGTATAGGACGAAGTTCCCAATACCTTAACCATTGTGAAGATGGTTATACTGCAGCTACCGTTGTCCTTCACTTCTTGGGCTCCATTCGCATGATGTTAACGCTATTGTTTTTTACAGTTGCCAGTAAAAGTGCCAATATGCACACGTGGGCGAGCTCACTTTATTGGTAGGGGTGTCACCTTTCTAGTCTAAATGGTGCATGTGCATACCATTTGATAATACTACAGAAACTGCTACGCTGTTCATAATAGTCCACTGAGGGGCGATCAACCAGCACTTCCTATGGCTTAGATTCAGCTTTACGGAAACTACGAGTGTTGCCGAATGTAAAAATGTAACCTACCTGAGGTCCGTAAATAGGTAATAATGTAAAAGGATTTAAGGCAACTAATATATCTCCGATATAGACCTGGAAATATAGAAAGAGGGATAAATATGAAAGAAATTAATGGAGTTTTACGTCATACTTTTCTGCACCTAATTGAGCAGAAGACATGCAACTCCATAGAGCGTAAAATGAGGAAAATTTTCCCAAAACAGTGGCATTAGCCTGCTCTTTTTCGATCTATAACATGCTGGGCCTTGGTTTATTGTCTCATAACTCCCACCCCAACGACTGGACGCTGTTTCCCTGGGTCTACTGACGACTCTGCAAGGTAATAGAAGATTCCAATATGCTCCGGAATTTCCTTCACAAAGGAATCGTTGATACCCAAAGGAAAGTATTGATTAAGTCAAGACTCTGAAGCGTCTAAAGGGTTAACTTACGTAAATGACATCCTGTTGATAATTTGATTGTAGACAGTTAAACACGCTCTGACCTAAGACCTCTGGTAATTGGGTCAAATCTGCTATTGGCGCTGCCATCTTGGATTTACGTCATCAACACGTCATGGAGGCTCTTAAAGTTTCTTCCAATCCTGAAGAATAAAAAACATAATTTCCTTTTTATCAACGTCTACACATGGACCACATTATTCCAATTTACTCCACCGTTCTGTGTTTTTGAATTTGGGGGTACGCCCTAACTACTGTACCCCAACTGGAGCCGCCACGGTTTGACAGTGGTCAAAGGGTGTGCCCCTCCCCTCTTTTCCTAAAGTAGAAACACCACTGCCATGTTAAAGCGGCACATTATTAGTTGGGCTATATTATTAAGGATGTTATTTCCACGTGAGAAGAAGGTCGGAATTTGAGGACGTATTAAGATCGAAATAATCCCAGTTAAAGAATGAGGAAGTAAAGTAAAGCTGATATTGCGCACATGACTCCATTTTATAATACTTGTCGCTTCGAGTATTTCTAATAGATCTCTTTTCTTGGGGTATTTATAGACAAACAAAACAGTTAATATGGATAGATCATTTAACCTTTCACTGTGTGTCGTTGTTTTAACAACGCAGTTAACCACTCTCCGTCGCACACAACATGTAAAAACTATACAATTCGCAGCAATATTTATGTCTATGTCTCCGCACACCTGTAAAATCCAAGGGCGCCGGCCATTTATATGCACACCTATGTTACATTCGCAGTAGAACTACATGTATTATGTTTATGTCGTCGCATATTCAATAATTATACTATGTTCGCAGCATAAATAGACCGTCGGCCATCGCACACCTATGTAACAAGTACATAAGTAAATAATTCTCAGGACAACTGTGTCTATCTATGTATACGTCGCACACCTATAACAGTCGGTCCAGCCTCCTATCTTGTCGGGGGGACACATGCCCTGACACATGGTAGAAACGCCACTGTCCCATCCACATAATGAAACAATCGCTCGCACCTAAAGCCATGTCTACCTCACTACCATCAATTGACGGATTTATCAACATTTTCCAAGATCTTCAAGAAATCGTCTAATCTTAGATCCAAAGAGGCGTGTTATATCATAATATATGTTTCACAATAGCCCCATCTTTAAGGATACTTTGTGAAATAACTCCAAACCTCTAAAGCTAAGCTATGCTTACCTTACTCCCTACACCATTTTAATCATTTACATCCTAAATAGGTCTTCAAGCAATCGTCTCTATCATACACATATCATACAAATAGGACTGTCTAACTATGTATAGTGCATATTCTCACTTAGTACACGAACTAGCCTTCTATAGGGGTTTTTAATATTTGTGATAAGGTATCAGATAACGGTAAAAAAAAAACAACATCCTGGTTTAACTTACTTACTAGGGCTATGTGGTATATATAGGTAGGTATGTATAGATCTTACTGTTACTGTAGCTTACTAATAGGGTCGGTTGAATATAGTGGTTGCCGCGATACCATTCAGAATTTTTGCTGCAATTTTGGCCCTAAGAGTTCCTCAGACGTTATATACATATAGATGTGATGGCCCTACCAGTTCTACACACGTGATGGCCCTACCAGTTCCTCATACGTGATGGCCCTCCCGAGTTGCTCAGACGTGATGGCCCTACCAGTTGCTTAGACGTGATAGCCCTACCAGTTGCTCAGACGTGATGGGGCCCAACCAGTTGCTAAGACGTGATCAGATGTGATTGCCCTACCAGTTCCTGAGAGGTGATAAACGGATGTGATGACCCTAACAATTCCTCCACCATGATGGACCAACCGGTTTCTCAGACGGTTATATGCATATGTAAGTTCTTACGGTTACAAATTTAGAAGGGCGTTGCATGTTTAAGAATATGGGGTAAGGCAGGGTGATTTATTATATTCAGTGTGTAGAGATAACCTTAGATAAACAAGTGCATGTACATTATTTATATCTTTATCATTATCCAACAAGTCTGAATGTCCTCTGCTAGGTGATTAGGTGCTGTGGGTTAGAATCCTCCTCATGATAAGAAAAATTCAGATGCCTGTGCCAGTGCTTCTGAGAGTAGTCCCAGCGTAGGCTCTCACTCCTTATAACTATGAAAGGGCTAGGTACTACAAAAGAAAATCTAAAAGAGCGAAGAGTCAATATTCCCTTCCATTTCATGAAATAAGAAAAAGTTCCAATTTTCAATGTTTTTTTTTTCAGAAATGAAATTTACAAAATAAATAAAATAAAATATGATAAAAAATGATTTTATACAATAAAAAAGATGCATGAAACCATACATTGATTCTGCTGTACATAGGCAGTGGATAGCCAGTCATATCTGATTAGACCTCATAAACACCAGGCTGAATAAATCAGAAACTGGTCTTTCAAATACATTTCCATCTGCCTGCTTTGAGAAGATTCAAAATTTTGTTTTCTGTTTTTTTCATCCGCATTGTAATCTAACACATTTTCTACCACAATCCTGTTCTAATGATATTATCTTTAACCAATCACAGATTGTCTTATTACATAACAATGATGATGGGTCCAACATGACACACTTTGATTGGTTAAAACTAACAACAACAGAACTGCAATAGAAAACTTGTTAGATTACAATAGAGATGAAAACAATAAGAAACGAATTTTGAATCTTATTTTAATGTGATTGATCTTTCCCAGACCTGCACAATCTTTTTCAGACGTTGAATATTTTTGTTCATCCAGACGTTAATTATTTTTGTTCATCCAGACGTTAATAATCATCATCATCACTATCATTATTAATATTACTCTGTCTGATAGCGATATTCATGACATCTTTAATCTCTGGTTTCTCTGGTTTCTGTACATCAGATGCCACGGCTCCTACTTGTGATAACATCCATTCCAATTCTACAGTAGAAAAATTATAAATTTAGAAACAGGGATTGGATAAGATAAGCCAGTCATGTCTGACTGCAACAATTTCAACACTTAGAAATAACCTGATGGAAATAATCAATTTTTACAAGGGTAACAACTTAGGTTCACGAGGATCTTGTCTACCAGCTGGTCCTTGACCAAACCTCTGGTATTGATCTTTCCCAGTTAACCCACCTGTCTACCAGTTTGTCCTTGCCTTAACCTCTTGGCATTGATTTTTCCCAGATGATCAGTACTCATTTACAGCTGGATCGAAAGGAACAATGAGGCTTCTCCCTAGAGAGTCCCTGTAAGTTTCGATAAAACGAATGTCCAAAACTTACCATTTATTTTGAAATTCATTCCTCCAAAAGACACAGGACCAATCCACTGTTTCTTTAAATCACCTTCAAAATACACAAAGATGGTGGGGAGGTTCTTATCTGGGTAATTAGGAATACAGACTGAGGAGATACTTTTTAAAAACTTGGTCATGGGGAATTTTCTGGCAAGCTGTGATAGATGCTGGTTGATTAGTGAACATAATGGAATCCTGAAATTGAAAACAGAATGAATGAATAAATGATAGAATGAATGAATGAATGATGACTGAAAATTTCCAAAATGAAAAATGGTCGAAATTCGCTTAGTTTTCAAGGACTGCTGTTATCCACAGAGCTGTGTCTTGTGATAGAAAAAGCAGTTACCTACCCTTGTTTGTAGATATGTAAAACAACCCAGACACCTTCACCAGCTTCGTTAACCTCCCGTACATAATCTGCCTTAGTTATCTCCCCTACATCTCCATATTTAGACTTCAACTGTATGGCTTGCATCTCAGCTATTCTCTGGCGCCTAAAATGAATTTAGGGTTTGTTAATTTTGAGACAAGTCAAGATTCTCCAGACAGAAATGCTGAATGACAAGGCTATGATTACCGTGGAGTGAAGGGAGACAACTCTTACCTATATTGTTCAAACATTCTCTCATCATCATCATCCAAACCATCTTCAATATCATCTAATTCATTTAGTGACATGTCACCCATAGCTTTTCCTGTAATCAAAATATTTTTACTCTAGAATAACAACCAAACTTTTAGGACCGAGGCATCTTCACAATATCAAACTACATACTTATACCTTGACTGCAATAGTCACTTTTCTTGTATCACGGAATGCAGTGATCTGATTAGATTGTAGACCATCGAAATACAGCCAATACGAGCCGTCGTCAGAAAGACTCTAACCCTTTTGACTGATTGTTTACAGATTTTCTGTTGAGGCCTCTGATTGGCTGCATTTGTTTATGTACAATTTATTTAATATATTGCTACCCTAGCTAGATCTGCTACCAGAAACTAAATTTACCATTTTGTTTTTCTTGAACTGTCTGTTCCAATATATTTACGATATCATCTTCTGAAATTTCCGCTTCTTTTTTTGGTGGAATTATTCCTTTTGATCTCAGTACATCATTCCATTCTGTATCAGCATTAGGATCCTAAAATATCAAATTGAAAACGTACAATAATGAAAAGACAAGCTAAATTTGGGGTTGTGTTATGTCTGACATTGGAGCGAGCTAATCCAAGAGCCTGGCTTTCATGCCTTGAAGTACAAGATCCTAACCTACACTCCTACAGGTGTTTCAGAAGGGTGAACATTCTCTGCTATGGGTGGCTACCCATCTCAATACCCTACACCAAATTATAGTAGGGCTTACAGATTATCGTCTATTTCATTTGGGAGTTTTGATCGAATAGAATCTCATTGGATTAACCAGATCGACATTGAAACATCGTGGCACTATGTGATGATACGAGATACTACAAGAAAGGTAGGGATTCCCCCAAAATAGAGGAATTCCCTTTCAGAAATCTCAAGAAAACCATCAAATTACCTGCATTTTGGATGATCAGAGTTCGTCTTTAACTTCTTCGTCACTTTAACTTTACGACACCTTTCTGTAAAACGGATCGTTAGTCCCTAAATTTAGATATTACGATCTAAACCACGCCGATCTATGACTAAAACTTTTTCCAGAATAGAGTCAAACCCGCAACCTCGTGTTCATCACGTGACGTCACAGGGATTCCCCTTCCTTATTACCAAATAAGGTAATGGAGAGAACTAAAATTAGATACAGCTATAGACTCGATTGTCATAGAGCTAGACCAAACCACTGGACCAAACACGGTCAAAGGGGGAAAACTCTTTTTAAGAACTTTTTGTTTACTACGGACTACAGTTAAATTGTTAAAGAACAGATTGACCTATTAACTTAATCAGAGACATTTTGAATAAATTATCGGTTTAGATGGGCTGAGGTCGTTGTTTACATTTTGTGGGATGGTCAGCCGGGGGTTTACTGACTCTAGAAGCACTGGTCGGGGATTTTAAGGTAACTACTGTAATGCAGGGCTCACAGAAATTTTGTAGAGGGATTCATTACAAATGGGTGGGGCCTTTTCTTTCACTTTGTTATCGGCTTAGTTTGTAGTAAGCCAAGAGATGTTACTGCGCAAAATAGACAGTGAACTCATGACGACTGGACTTGTGTAATGGCTTATGACTAGCTTTGTGTTCTTCTTATGCAATCTGTTTATTTTGTGGCCTGAAGAGAGCAACAACCTCGTGAGTGAGTGGAAATCTTTAGTCAGTCTAGCATAGGATTGGAAGATTGATAGAAAATCTAAAATAGGTCAAGGTATTAGTTTCCCTAATTGTACACTGTATGGCATTGCCGTCCTCTTGGCACAACCAGGCACAGAAAAGTAGGATGTAAAACTCCATTACCGGTACATTTCTTTCTGATTTCTTTTCATTGATTTCATTTCTGACTTTTTTTCTTTTACATTTCAGTTTTGAAAGAAGATAGAATGTAATAAAGTTCAAGGTAACTATGGGACAAGGAACGAGTCTACCAGACTTAGGTCATCATGCAGGACGTCTGCAACTTAACCTAGAGGTCATTCATAAGGCAGCTCAACTAAGTTACGACGAATTTCTAAATTCCATTCAAGAATTGAATTCGGTTACCAACACTTTCACCGATCATCGCGGGAAACAGTTACATTTCGTTGTGAAAAAGGGCACGGACCAAACTATCTTGTGGAAAGGAAGTGTTCGGATTCGATGCATGAAATTAAATTCGGAGAATAAGAAAGTGGAATCGGTACGTCTGTTAACGTTAAGACAATATATAGCCATGTACAAAGAAATAACAGAGCAAGTTTCCAACTTGTTGCCACATCAGCAGCCGTTGTCACGGATACCACGTGACATCACTGCGTCAACGATATTCGATGGAGTTAAAGATCCTGTCCCAGAAACAGAAAATGATTGTGAGTGTTGTATTTGTATGGAAAGAAAGTCGGAAATCATTCTTCCATGTAGTCATGAATTTTGTGAAATTTGCATCGATTCGTGGCATCTATCCCATAATACTTGTCCTTTATGTCGAAATAAAGTGGAGAGTTCAGACGATACGTGGGTGTTGACGGAAAAACCGACCAGTGCTGACTATGATTCAGAGGTGAAAGGATATTTAGTGGGTCTAGCGGACAGAAAAGGGACATAATTCATAATTTTGTGATGCAATTATCATGCAATTCGATCCATTGTGATGTATTTGAAGACTAACATAAATAACATTAGGCCTATTTTACGCATTGAGCCCAAAATGATTCATGACACGCTTTAATGTGATATATTTGAATGAAATTGAAGAAAACTTAAATCTTTTAAGGAAGTTGTGTGTTTTAGGCCTACTTTTAGGCCTACTTTTAAATGAATGACGCTACGATTGACTATGGCCTATTGTGATATAAGCTTACAGGACGTTGAAAAATTAAAAGTGACACACTTGGGACCACAAAAGGCCAAGTAATGGCCAATTCACCATATTTAATTTTTTTAATTTCAAAAGGTTGTTTTTGTTGTTTTTGTAAATTGATAATTAAATAATTTATTCCTGTTGAAAAAGAACCATTTTTTTAAGAAAAGAATTTTAGAAACATCTCAATTTGTAGGGTACCGTACCGTACTTTTTGAATAACTTACCTTTTGGAGGATCCTTTCTTCTAGCTGATCCTTGGATGAAGCCATGCAAATCTTTTGTCCATGATCTTTTCTGGATTATCCATCAATTCATAATGATTAAACTTACAGCTGGGTCAACTGAAAGAAAGTGGAAAAAGGAGAAAAATGACTTGCTTGTTCAGCTAGGCCTATACATCAATTTTTTGGTCAGTGATTAACAAGAGAACACCAGACTAATGTCAATGATTTCCAAGCCCTCTTTTAATAAGATCCATCTGAGCTTTTTTCCAAAGCCTAAGAAACAGTAGGCCTACTACAGGCTTTGAAACAGAAGCATTCAGAGTTCAGTTTTTTTAGCCTAGCTAGGCCTAGATTGTTTTTTATGGCGATCAGCTCATAAGTAGACCCCCTGAAGGTCCAAAAACATAAAACATACCTTTCCTGTACAGTTCTGTCAACATCAACGTCCAATAAATGCAGAAAATTGTCTAATTCTAGGGGGAAATTAACGATCAAATAAATAAATAAAAAATCTATCGTCTGATTATAAGATTGATGAGTTACTTCCCTTTAGTGTTTTACTTTTTGTGAAATCCGCATTCAATATAAAATATTTTTAGCAAGATTTGGCTGTCCATAAATATTATCAGAGTTACTTGCCCTTGAATATAACTGAACATAAATAACTTGACGGAATAATGGATCTTTTAGGTAATTTTTTCCAGTTTTCACACATTTGAGACAATTTTCAATGTTCAGTCATCTTAAAACAACCTTCCAGAATCACGACTGAGCCATTGGCATTGGGCATAAGTGCTAGATCTGGCAGAAACGGGCTGGTTTTGTGGTTTGGAATTGGTGACCCATTTTTGAATGTGGGTTGGTTGGTTGTTGGCTTTATGACATTAATAACTTTCTTAAATTGTTCTGAGGTTTGTAAGAAGGTCAAGACAATAGCTGACTAGTTCTAGGCCAGAAAACTGACACTCAATTAAGTTTTGGATCTTTCTCCATACCTGCTGAATAGGCTGTATCGAATGGGGCACTAGGCCATGGGGCTAGGTGGGTACTTAGACTTTGCCCCTTTGGTTTTTGTGTAATTTGACCCACCTATAAAAGCAGTACAGTATTATGTAACAACTGATAATGTGCCAATGAAATATCTTTGGACCCTACTTAAATTTGATTTGATAGGAGTCTTATCAATTTACAAAAAAGAACATAGGATAGGCCTAGTTCAACATCAGTTTGAAAATCATGTTTTAATTTGATGAGCAGAAGGCATAGACTAGGCCATTAAAAAATGATGGACTTTTTATTTTACTTGCAACAGATGCTGGCGTTTCATGGAGCGCAATGAAAATTAACATGAAAAATAATAATATTTTTTTAAATTGCTCTGTAATTAATTTATTGATCACTATTTTAACAATGAAAACGATTCAATATGAATTAGACTTAGATAATTAGTAAGCCATTAGAGAACTGTAGACCAAAACAACTGTCAAAAAGACTAAGCTATGTACATAAGTACACACGAGGTCAAATAACTACTTTTTGACAAGTTTATTCAAGGTTCAACTATAGTTCAGTGGCATGGATAACGGTGTACAACTTCAATCTAGCAGACGACAATCAAGACAAAGGAGGAAAATAAGGGTAAAAATGGATTCTTTTTTTCATTTTCAGGGAAGCAGATTTGTCGAGCAGACGACAATCAAGCTCAAAACTTAAATAATCAAAGTATTCTATTTTTATTTTCAGGGGAGGTTGAAAGACTAAACAGAACCCAGATGGTGACATAATTGTATAAATACTACTCCTGAACCCACTACCTCGCATAATGGAACGGTCCAAATTGACGTCTGGTCAAGGTGATAAAAGTAAATATGGCGGATTAGCTGGTTACCAATATCACAGACACGCAGAGTTCTTCTGTGGGGGAGGTGCAGCGTTTATTAACATCACTGTCACCTTCCCGATAAACAAGGCCATGTTCCGTCAACAACTTCACGGAATTTCTTCCTTCCGCGCCATTGGTCAGTTACAGAAAGAGGGCATACGTAACTTATATCGAGGGTTGCTCCCTCCATTATTGCAGAAGACTTCCTCTTTGGCTGTCATGTTCGGCAGTTTTTACCGATTCCAAAGATTTCTGGAAGAGAAAAATGGCGTTCATTCTAAATACGTCTATATAACAATTGCAGCAATATTCGCTGGGTGCCTTGAGACAATGTTCACTCCATTCGAACGTGTTCAAACTCTGATGCAAGACAAAAAATATCATAATAAATTCAAAAATACTCTACATGCATTTAAAGAAGTTCGTATCCATGGTTACAGAGAGTATTATCGAGGAATTTCAACCATCTTATTGAGAAACGCGCCAAGTAATGTCCTCTTTTTTTGTGGACGGGAATATTTTCGTGATAATTTTACGAAGGTCGGTGACGAAGGCTCGGTGAAGTTATTCAAAGACTTTGTATCTGGCGCCGTGCTTGGCGCCATGATTAGTACTATATTCTATCCTGTTAATGTGGTCAAGACTCGCATGCAGTCTCATTTGGGTGGGGAATACATGACCTCTTGGAAAACTTTTCAGATTCTTTGGAAAGATAGGAATGGCAGTATAAGAAAAGTGTTTCGTGGTTGTCATCTGAATTATACCAGATCTTTCTTATCTTGGGGCGTTATTAACGCTTCCTTTGATTTGCTGATGAAAACATTTTTTAACAAGTCTACTCGATTATGATAGTGTTTATGGTACCGGTATGTTAGCTTACAATATAATAACCGAATTGTGATTGTTTGAACAGTATTAGCTGGTATATGGTAATGTAAAGTGAATGAATTGGCTATTGAACTGGTTGTGATTCACTGAACAGAAAGGTCTGGTTATTAGATAAAGACCTATTGAACAGATGGTGACTAACTGAACAGATGGTGACTAATGGAACAGAATAGTGACTAACTGAATAGAATAGTGACTAACTGAATAGAATAGCAGACTAAATGAACAGGGATCATAGTGACTAACTAAACAAGAAAGCGATTTCCTGAACAGATTACTGATTAATCTGGATAGTGACTAACTGAAATAACTGACAAAGATAGTGACTAACTGACAAGGATAGTGACTAACTGAACAGTTTTGTGAATAAGATAATATTATGAATATAAACGAGCATAATTTAATTAATTATTCATAAAATTTTTTATTATGATTGCTCATTAAGTTCGATTTTTAAATTGTCATTTTTTATAACTTAATGAAATTTGCTTCATTTTGTCAATTGATATTATTAGAATGATTAAGAAATTTCTATCTACCACAGCATTATCATGCACCCGGGCAGTAAGGGTTGAAAGCCGACACCAGAGGCACTGGAGTGGCATAAGTCTTTTTCTCACCTTCAGGAGGATTTAGAGAGCCAGGCACCAGCAAGTGTAAAAGTTATTTTACAAACACTGTACCTCATATCTTAACAAATACTATAATAATAACTTGCTGTGGAGTTCGTGTAATAATTTTGTCAAGTCAATGGATTTTACATTTCCTGTGATGATGAGAGCTGAAGTAGAACCTGTGTTCAGATATTCATATTAAATAGAGATTTTTGTTGTGTTTATTTTGTTTTTATTGAGTTTGATTATTAATATAAAATATATCAAATATGTAGTAGAACCAAAAGATATTGTGTTATTTTTTATCATATCATTATGAGGAGGGGCTGTAGTTACAGTTGGTTAGGGTGTTGAAATCTTTACATGACGTCATAACATGCTGGAGACGAGCTGTAGTTACAGTTGGTAGAGCATTAAAATCTTAACATGACATCATCTGTTAAGTAATGTCATGCAAAATGGTGGTCGTAGATTTAGTATGTGAAATTCAGGTGACCTTAAGCAAGTTGTCTTTCCGTATTATTCCAGTTGATCCAACTGTCAATGGGTACAGATGAAATCAAAACCGAAAGGTTTGGCCAAGGACAAGCTGGTAACAAATGCAAGCTGAAGCTATTTATGATCATTTATTAATCTAAATCTTTGAAAAATATCAAAATATTAGTTCATATGAGCCGAGATTTAGCCATTTTGGATATCCTTCGAAGCACTTTTACCCACCTTTTTTGGGAAATGAAAGATGGCATCTAAAATGCAACTGCCATACTGAAGCATTGTAGCATAAAAGTGCCCTTTTTATTAACCTTCGGAAACCTAGGGGCGTTTTTATCACCCCCTAAAAACACAAGAGGGTATATTTCTATTTTGGGTATTAATAATCTCCTAATATTACAGGGGCCTTATTCTGATAAACGTCAATCCAAATTTGAGGAAGCACAGTAATCTGATTGGTTAATTTCAAATTCAAAATTATGATCGACCAATCAGATCAGTTTTCCAAAGAGAGGCTCAAATACTAATTAAATATACAAAATATTTACAAAAATATACATCGTAACTATAACAACGCTAGTTTTAACCAATCAAATCAATGATAACAATGTACAAGTAACCAATCAAAAACTTGATCTCAAATTAAAAAAAAATCACAACAATCATATGTCTGGCCATGTTCCTATAGCAACAGTATATATTATCCATATCTAACATTGCTAATCGAACATAACGTTTGGCATTCGACACACACAAAAAAAAAATTTGACCTTCATTTTAAGAGAATCAATGAACGATACCTTTTACCAAAGAATTTTTTTGTTCAAGAATCAAATTTTCATAACTTTTCGATACAAAATTCTACAGATTTCCTGAAAAATTTTCAAAGGTATGTACACATTAAGTTATTTTGACTACATAAAAAAATACATTCATAAAGGCACAGTTTAGATGGCTGACAAAATCAAATTGTACTAAAAATTACATTTTATTGCACAAAGGTACAAGAAAAAAATGCCTGGAAAAATCAAAGTACAGTTCCAAAACAATGGGATTGTAAAAAGGTTTTCTAAACTTTTTATGTGTATCAGGGACACTGATAGCATCAATTTGCATCATTCCAATTTTCAATGTCCCTTATACTCTGGTTGTAACAATATTTAACAGCTAATATACGTCACGTTTCTTAGGGGCTGGACCTTTTTTACTTCTGTCGAAAGGAATTTATTTTGTTGCCTACAAAAAAGAATCCATAAGTTTGAATTCTTCCTCTAGAATTTTGATCACATTTTGCAAAATTTAGAGAAAATTCTATACACCCAAACATATACTTGAAGTTTATTTTGTGCCGAGGGGGTCGTCAAAGATGTCGTTTGTCGCGTCTTTCGATTCTTCCTTCTTCTTGGATTCTTTCTTCGCTTTTCCAACAACTGGCGTCGAATCAGCAAAAATATCATCTGAAAATTTTAAATAAAAAGAAAATTTGTTAAGATGGATTAAACAAAGGGTATAATCAAATAACTCACAGGAGCGAAGAGTCAAAATCAAGAATATTCTACAGTACAAAGACTCTCATCTCAAATCAAATTGACAAGAGCTGACATTGAGCTGAAAGAAATATCGGGGAACGTGGCAAGAGCAATGGACAAAAACTAACCTATATCATCTTTGAAAATTCCTTTCTTTTCTGTTGGTGCCTTCTTTTTCTTTTTTAAATCTTTAGTTTTGGAGGAAGGAATGTCAGCAAAAATGTCTGTGTCATCTTGAAATAATGTTTCGTCCTTCGTTGAGGCTTTTTTCGGTCTCCGTCTTTCTTTTTTGTCATCTTTTGTAGTTGAGGTTGATGCGAATATATCTTCTTCGGGCTGGAAACGTAAACGGAAAAAATGGTGTCTGAGTTAAAACTTAATAAGAAACACGTGCACAACTACTTGATCTCGAGGATTCTTTCTAGAAGTTGGTCCTTGACAACATCTCAGATGTTCATATGGGACAATAAACCGAGCCACCGTGTGCTACAGACTAGACTGGCATTAAAATTCTGAAATCTTACCTCATCCTTCTCCTTCGATTTAGTATTGGATCGTTTTTTGGAAGTAGCAAAAAAATCATCTTCCGCATCTACTGGAGTTTTCTCCTTTGATTTAGATTTACTCTCTAAAAAAGAAAACAAGAAAATAATTAGCAAATTTGGGTTTACATCATGTGATGTCACTTGCTAATGGCTGCTTCACCGACCGCTAGGGTACATATCGCGTAATTATGTTGCCGATGGAGTGGCGCTAGTGTTGAGGACAATTCAAGTGAAAAGTTTAAAGATGGCGTACCTGGTTTCTTTTTGTTAATACTGGCATCAGCGAAAATATCCTCGTCATCTACAATCTTTAACTTCGATTTATCTTTTTTATTTTTATCTTTCACCGACGAACTGGCAAATAAGTCATCTTCGTCTGCTGTTGCTTTGGACCTCGTTCGTTCCTTAGCAACAGTTTTATCAGATTTTGTGTCACTAGCACGAGGGGAGAACAAATCTTCCTTATCCACAGTTTCAGTTTTTTTCGGTTTGTCTAAATCACTAAATAAGTCATCTGCTGATTGTTTACTAGAATCAGACTTATCTGCCCCTGATGAAAATTTGCCAGACGTGAAAACATCTTTATCCTCTTTCTTGTCCTCCGTAACTAAGGCTGATGTGGTCTTTTCTGAAGAGATGTCACCCACGAGGTCATCATTTCCGAATAAATCCATTTTCGCAGGTGAAGAGGATTTTTCAGGTGATTTTTCTGTCGTTGCCGTCCTTTCTGATGATGGAGATTTTTCTGGACTGGCTCTAGGACTTTCGTTGCCGTTAGCAACACCATTAGCTAGATTTGGACTGTCTCCTTGTGCATCACCTGGGGTCATGGAAGCAATGTCTTCATATGTTACGCCATCTTCGAACACTCGTGATCTACGGGCGTATCGACTTTGTGGGCGTCGTTTTCTAGAAATCTTGGCTCTTTCCTGCAAAATGGAAAATGGATGTCGTTATTTGAAAACAGGAAGAAAAAAAGATGATTAATTAAGTCCTGAGGCGCATAAATTCTGGATTTGGACAGGGGCATAACACAATGAAAAATTAAAACTCCTTTTCTCATCTAGCTGTCCTGGGTTATCCCCCAATTTCTCATCCAGCTGTTCTGGGTTAAACCCCGATTTTGTACCCAGTTGTCCTGGGTTAACCCCCTATTTTGTACCCAGCTGTCCTGGGTTAACCCCTGATTTCTCATCCAGCTGTCCTGGGTTAACCCCTGATTTCTCATCCAGTTGTCCTGAGCTGTACTGACCTTATTTTTACTGCTAAGAGTACTGGCTTCAGCAGGTTCATCAAAAGTAGCTGCAATAGGTTCGGGTGCTGTTGAGGGTGGTGCAGAACCAGGAAGCAATGCTGCTGGATTGATAGCTAGGTTAGCCTAAAAAATAACACAAAAAATACTGAAATTTTATGAAATTGGCTTGCTGCACAGCTGTTGCTTTTGAAATAGTGACATCATAAACATTTAGTTTAAGTGGATTGCAAGAGTCAAAGACGTCTGATTGAAAATTTGAATCGTGCAAATGGATGCTTTCAGTGTCCCCGATAAAGTTTAGAAAACCTTTTTACATCTCATCAATCAGTCAAGCTTTTGATATCTAATCATGCAAACAATAAACAAACAAATTAAAACAACAAGCACCTGTAACGAACCAATCTTTCCTCCTGAAGTTTGACCTGGTCGTGTTGATGTTGGTGTTGAAATAACAGGCAACTACCCAGAAAATACAACACAAATAATATATATAACACATGCTTTAGAATGACTGAATGAATTAAATAAATTAAACATAAATAAATAAATAAATAAATAAATAAATAAATAAATAAATAAATAAATAAATAAATAAATAAATAAATAAATAAATAAATAAATAAATAAATAAATAAATAAATAAATCAAAATCAAATCAAGGACATGCCACATCTATTTTAAAAAATTCTTCAAATATGAACAAATGCAATTATCAACTACCCAACACGGAACAAATTTTGAAGCTTTGTTTACATTGGCCTACATCTAACATCTAAAATTAACATGCACTACAAACAACAAAATGCACAGAAAATTGGAAGATTTACAGAAAACAGACTTACATCCCCTAAAGTATCATTATCTAACGTTGGTGCTGGAGGAACGCCATTTTCTAGCAATGGAGGACTGGGTACTGAAAAAAAATCAAAAAGTTTAGCTCCAGAAGGTATTTATACATCTGTATTCACCAAAATCTTAAGACATGAACACAAATCATAATGGATCTGTATTTCCAAATGAAGATAGGCAATGCCCTGGACCTTCAGGATAGCATGGAAGCGTTCCAACTCATCGTGGCTCTCCCAATATTCGGGGCTTTATCTAATGCCATAAATATAGAAGTTCCCTACCATCTTTAATACTGTCATCTGTAGCTTCACTATTAGGAGTTGTCTTTTCCTTGTCTTCCGTAGGGGATTTCTCTTCTGAAGGTGAAGGCTGCTCAAAACTGGCACCTTGCTTCTTCTTTAATCCTGCTAATGGATCCATTCCACCAAACATGGACACAGCACCGGCAGGTTTCCATGGTTTCGGTCCTGAAGATGGTGTTGGTGATGTAGGCGAGGCAGTGGACTGAAATGTTAAAATGTATTTGTAAGTCGTACTATTGCTTTCTCCAGTCTAAGCTATTATTTGGTTCACAAGGATCCTTTCTGGACCAGCTGGTCCTTGACCAAACCTCTTGGCATTGATCTTTCCTGGATTATCTGTACCCATTTACAGCTGAGTTGACTATAATAATGAGGAAAGATGACTTGTCCATGGTCAGACTTTCTGACTGAGATTAGACTAATATATAGACGCAAATTCTCTGAACAGGAGTGAAGAATCAAGTAAATCAAGGTGAAAATGTGCATTGGTACTTACTTCTGGAGAAGAGGGGGTAGATGTATTTGATGGAACAGCTTTAGATTGTGACGGTGAGGTGGGAGAACGTAGACATGGTTTAAGAGCAGGTTTCGGTAAGGTTTTGGGTAAGGTTTTAGGTAATGTTTTGGGTGGTGCAGGTTTTTTACTAATCACCTCTTCCTTTTTATCAGAACCAAACAATGGATCAGCTGAAATGAAGAAAACAGATCTGGGATGAAACATTGTCAAATTTGAACTCCTCCATGCAGATTTTGATGAAGAACTTCGACAGAAAAACATCTAAGCTCTGATTAATGCAGACATGGGCAATAACTCTGCTAAACTTTAATGAAACATTGTCAAATTTGAACTGCTCCATGCAACGTCTGAAAAAACCAGCAGACTTGGGCAACAAAAACTACAACCACATCTCGCATTTATTTCTTACATTTTTTAGCTTCTTCTTTCTTTTCATCTTTCGTTTCTTTATCTTCAGATTTTTCAGTCTCTCTCTCCTCAGAATCCTGTTTCTTTTTCTTTAACAGCGCCGTGGGATCCAGTCCTCCGAACATAGATACAGCTCCAGGCATTTTCTTGGGTTTAGCTGGTTCTGCTGGCTTTTCTTCCACTGGTGCCTGGAAAAGATTTAAAAGAAAAATGAACCACACCATTATTAGCAATGATGGACCTAAGGTGGTTATCAATGATCCAAAATGTCATGGGAGGAGCTTTTCAACTATAAATTTAACATCAGGGGATCCAGTAGGACTAAATTAGCCATGCTCCAAAATGAGACTAGTCAGGCAATCAAATACTTCATAACAGTCCAAAAATGCACATTCTGGTTGCTAAGGAAGTGAGGAATCCCACAATTACGTGTGATGTCTCCCAGAAGATCAAAATTCTTGAAGCAGAAGAGAATGTATCTCCAAGATCTATATTGGTGGAAGAAAATCTTGCAGCAAGGAAAGAGAATCCAAGATATATATTTGTGGAAGAAAATTTTGAAGCAAGCAGACATAGTCTAGTGCTTACCTCTGGTGCATCTGAGGATTCCGTTTCTGTGGCTCCAGCTACCAGTACCTTCTTTTCTGATTTTGCTGAAGATCCAAATAAATCTTCTTCATCATCGTCATCAAATAATCCTAAGGGTGATTTCACTGGGGCTGCTTTCTTGGCACTTGACTTGTCTTCTTCCTAATAAGGTAATGAAATGGAGTTTTACTTCTAATGTTTTCTTCTACAGCTTAGACTGAAGACTGGTATGCAGTGGGCAATGAGGAAAACTGTAACACACTGTTCATGAGACCAAAATACATTTTCTAAATAGTTTGTTAAAACACCCCTAATATTGTAATGAAATGTTCCAAACCAGTAGCTTGCTATCAAAAATAACTTTAAATATGCATGTGTGGACTGGCCCAAAAGAGGTCCAGGGGGTGATCAGATAGTAAATGTAACCAACCTGTGTTTTGGTGTCTTTTTTACCCCCAGAGTCAGCTCTGGGTTTTTCTGTGGGTGAAAATAATTCATCATCCCCATCACTAAATAAACCTTTACCACCTTCTTTCCTCTGAAAAGGGTCAAGGGTACAATTTAAAACATCTGGTTTTTACCCATATACTTTGATTGGTTAAAAATAAATTCATTAGAACATGACAGTAGTAAAAAACTTGCTAGATTACAAAGGAGATGGAGAAAAACAAGGAATTGTAACTATATTTTGATTCGCTTGTCATTAGTGCATACCTGTTTGACTTCTGCTGGTTTCTGCTGTGTTTTTGGTTGTGATGTGGAGGATTTTTTGGTAGAGAACAAGTCCTCATCATCATCATCATCAAATAGAGATAACTTATTACCATCTTTACTGGGTTTGGCCTTCTCTTCATTCTAGAATAAACCAATATCAAAGTTTACACCAAGATCTCAAATTTGGGACATTAATTTGAGACTTAACTTTGGGACAATATCTTTTGTTGCATGTTGCACATTATTGATGGTGACAGAGATTTTTCTGAAAAGGTGCGCATTATTTTCGCAATTAAGCTTATACAGTAAATTGTAAAGATCTCTACCTTTTTAGTGTCCTCAACCGGGTCCTTTTTCTTCAAAATATCAGCCCCGCCAAATAAGGACACTCCTCCTACTGGCTTCTTCTTCGCTGGTGCAGCTTCCGCAGCTGGTTTAGAGGCAGCTGGTTTTGGTGCGGGACCACCGAATAAATCATCACCCTCATCTTCAAATAATCCAGATTTTATACTTTCACTTTTCTTTTCTTCTTTCTATAAATAGTTCAAATGAATGGATCCCTGTGAACCTAAGTTGTTATCCTTGAGAAATATAGTTGTTTCTTTGTCTCTTTTTTGAAAGAGTTTGAAGATCCTGCTAACTAGTTGGTCCTGGGACCCTTAGGATAAACCTTTCCCAGATTATTGTACCATCAATCGCTGTGTGGTGAGCATCCCTCCTGCCAGTTGGCTGGACCTTCTAGTTATCAATCTTTCCCACATCAATCAAATGATGTCAAGATTCTAACGCTCTTACTGAGTGAGCTACACCCCATCCTCAAAGAACAATCCTGAAACGAACAATTCTCACTTACCTTTTCTGTCGGTTTGTCAGATTTTTTCTCATCACCACTGGCTAAAACATTTTCTTTGGACCCAAATAATCCTCCTTTAGATTTACTGAAAAATACCAAAAAATAAAACATAATAACACACTGACTGTGTCCCTTTTTAATTCATTATGGACCCCATGTTCCCGAGCCTTTCCATAAATAATCCCAGCTTGTAAAGAGATTGTCAAGAGGTTTTCTAAACTTTTATGTTTAAGACTGAAGGCTTGGTGGAAAAAATTAATTACAACGGTGGAAGATGGGTCCAGTCTCCTCCTGGTGATCTGATATTCAATAGAAAGATTATCCAGTATGTTGTCAATAAGTACTAAAACATACCAGACGTTTGGTTGATTACTGACACTATTTATAGCTCTAGAGATAAACAAACTATATAACCCCAAGCTGTATTAACTTTCTACATATTATAATAAACCACTTTCTCAATTAATTTTCATACAAGCCAAGTGGAGGGGGGGGGGGGGGCTTTAGTTTCACTTTTTATAAGCTTCTGTTATAATAACAGCCCGTCTTTTCTTGAGACACTGTCATATATAGAAAAGACATCTATAGAAATAGTGAGTAAAATTCCTAGTTTGAGATATTTTTAAAGGAATTATGTGATTTCCGTACATTTCTAGTACTTCTGAAGACTATTTACATATATTCAAGACTAAAATCAACCCCTAGAAATGGTGAATCACTTTAAGAGTAAAGGGAAATGGTGATAGTTATATAATGCCTCTCTTATCTCTTCCTCTCTATATATTTCTATATAGTGTATAATATGTATAGGACCATGATGTTGAACAGACCTGTCTCAATTTCCTGTTTCAATACATAAATATATAAAATTCATATCACTTAGAGATAGAGAGTAGGTGGGGAGGACTGGCCAGGACCAGTGGGAAACGTTGGCCAAAACTTAGACTGGCCCAGCTTACCCTCTCCCCCTAGTTTTTAAATTCTTGTAATTGAAAAAATGAAATGAAATGAATGGAGTTTTATGCCCTACTTTTTCTGCTCCTTATGGGCTAATGAAGACAGACACCATGCAGTGTTCAATGAGGGGAATATTGTAAGGACAGTGGCATTAGCCCTGAGTCAAGGGATCTTTAATGTGCACAGCCTGTAGCACGCAGGGCCTTGGTTTATTGTCCCATTCGAACAACTAGACACTTTTTCCATGTCAGTCCCTCCGACCTGCATCACATACAAAGGTAAAAAAGACTTGTCAAATCCGAAGGTATCAACTCAACCTATGCTGGGATTGAATCCTGGACCTTCTGGTTAGCAAGCAAGGGTCTAACTCACTAAGCCACGGCAGCTCCCTTCATGGATCGAAGACTTTATTTGGGTAATAGGGCTAAATTGACAGGGGACCTCTCGCAAAATATTCAAAATTCTTTGTCACATGTACCCCTTTAGGGTAAAAAAAACTGTGCGATATACTTGCAAATTTTTAGTACTTACTATGTGCAATATCTTTGATAGCCTGACAAAATAAATCCACTTAAAAAATGTAGAAACACAAGACATAGTATACTAGTACTTAGCAAGATATACAACTCCATAATATCCTAGGCCAGTGCTTTCGTTACATATTGTCTAATAGATTACTATTCATAATGCCTCAACCGGTCCTTTAAGGTAACCTTTCCACTAAACAAATCAATTAAGCTATTAACTCTTCCTCAATCGGTCCTTTTGTGTATGACAATCCAAAAAAGTCATTCATTTGCATCTGCAAAGTTCACAGAATTAATTGTAATTATTCATTGACAAAAATCAGTGTGACACGACACGGTAAGACTAATACATCTGAATAAAAACAACTATAAACGACAAGATAGATCAAAACTTCCCCTTTCACTCGACCATGACTAAATAAATCATTTTAAACTTCCTTGATGAACTTTCTTTTAAAATGAAATGAAACGAAATAAATGAACTGAACAAATTGAAATGAAAAGGATTGAAATACAATGGACACAGGAATGAATTGAAATGAATTGTGAAACGATGGAAATGAAATGAATTTGATCCAGTAATGCACAAAGCCTGCAGAACACAGGGTTGTCTTAGTACAAAACTTCAGAAACACTTTACAAAACCAAAATCCATCCACACTGACAAAACTTTCAAAACACTTAACAAAACTACATTGAAAATTAACTTGTATTCGAACTAAACATAAAAATTAAAAAAATTAAGAGCAAATCACATCAGTCTCGAAACACAATTCTAAATTCAAAATCCATCAACACTGACAAAAATTCAGAATCATCCACAAGAAAAAACATAATCGAAAATTATCCTCCAAAACTAGAAAGAACATAATCAAATCAAGACCTAAACCAACCTTTTTCTGAAGAAACTTGATCTGGTTCCAAAATTCCTGGAATTCTTTGATATATGAGTCAAAAATCTAAAAATGGAGCACTTTAAAAACTTTTAAAATATCTACCTCTTAGGTGTAACAGGCGGCGGTGACTCTTTGTCTTTTGTTTTGTGTCCAAATTTCGACTTAATCCAAGAAGCAGCCATTTTGATCTTCCATGCCTTACAATATTGCTAAAAATAACTCTTGGGGTAACACAGGCAGACTATGGTGGAACCATCAGTTTGGTGCCAGGCCACTACTAGTTAATACAACCCTATCAGTTTTCATCTTAATATCAAAGGATATTAGGCCAGTGTAACTTAAATGTTACTATTTATAGCCCACTGGTGCACATCTTGACTGGAAGCAGACGTTAACTTGCCATTGGCAACCAACCAACCAGCTCAGCCCCGTCGTTAGGGTGAGGTCCGTGATTGGCTGGGCCCCAGCAAGTGAGAATTAAACCCCAGCAAAACCTTCTTCAATTCAGCAGAGATTGATTCATTTACGGACTTTGTACAAAATCAAAAAGATATAGATTTTGGTACGTTTTTGGCTTCTTAATATGGTCAGAAATGAGTTCTCTGAGTACAAAATCTGAGCCCCCTTTCTACCAGCTGATCCTTGACAAAACCTCTACATTCCAAAAAGGTGTAATAATCCATCATTCAATTTCTTTTTCAATAACATTTTCATAATCAAAGGTTATAGCCACTTTAAATTAAAGTACTGATATGTGGGATAGTCTCCTTAATAACAAATTGAAACATGAATGAAATTCAATGCTGGCCAATGTCCAACTTTGACCATCTGGGACCATTTTAATTTTCGTAGAATCAGACACTAGTATTAGTATCTGTTTGAATTAGTACTCAGTATGTTTACCTTTGTACACAGCAGGGAATCCATTACAGGGAAGCCATTACAAGGGAAGTCATTACATAATTACTAATGTACAAATAGCCTGATAGACTGTTAACACCCCACGATTTTATCTGTAAGTCTAGAGCTCTTAAAGGTTTGATGTTATTTTAGCCGGTGAAAGAAAGAAAGAGCTATTTTTGACAAGGATTACAACTTAGGATCACGAGGATCCTTTCTACCAGTTGGTCTTAGGCCAAAACACTTGGCATTGATCTTTCCTGATTGGAATGAGGAGAGATGACTTATTCTGTACCCATTTACAGCTGGGTTGACTGGAATAATGAGGAAAGATGACTTATTCTGTACCCATTTACAGCTGGGTTAACCGGAATAATAAGGATCCTTTCTACCAGCTGGTCAGTTATTTTGAAAGTTATAATTTGTTGGTAGTATAGTAACTTTAAGAATAACAGAGAGTTAAGAACATGGAGATATCAGGTTACCATAGAAACACACATACATTGCTTGCTCTTCTATACTGTATTATACTCTTAGCTATCTATTAGACTTGAGGCCAATAGAAATACATAACTGTTTCTTGTGTATTGGGTATTGGTTGGATTGGGGCTGTATTTGCCAGTCATGTCTGCTTGGAGCTCCAAAATGACCAGATCTTGTGACATATTTATTTATATTTGATAGTATTTGAAGGAATTATTAGGTGAAAGGGGCAAGTTTCAAGGGGGGGTTCACAGAAAAAGGTTATTAAGAAGACAAAAGCTTGGACCAAACCTGTAATTAGTATACGCAACCAGGACATCACCTGCAGAAGTTTTGTGGAATTACAGGACCAGGACGTCAGACAGGAAATTGAAAGGTTAAAAATAGAATATTACCTGTCGGATTTAGATTTTGGTGAGAACAGTTCATCATCCAGGTCATCATCGAAGAGACTACCAGCATTGCTAGACTTGGACCCAGAACGGTCACTTTTCTTCAGGCTGTCCACACTTTTAGATCCTCCTAGTTGACCACTGGCCGAGTTTTTAGATTGAACACTGCTACTGCGAGATTTCTCACTTGACGACCAATCATTGTTCTGAAATAAAATCAAATGGTAAAAGGATGTGAAAGCTTTCGGAAGCACTGACACCGGTATCAGAATTGAAGAGAATTCGAAACCATGGCAACTCATCGACTAGCAAATGACAATCCAACTCACAAGCTCCAAATTGGGCTTAGCTAATGGACAACACTATAAAGTGTCCAATGAGGGAAATTAGGCTCAGATTATGACTTTACCTCGTCATCTGACTCAGGTTGAGTTTTCTTCTTCAAGGCAGCAGCTAGAGGATTAGGACCTGGTCCAAACATTGACACAGCTCCTGCTGGCAGCTAAAAATAAGAATATGCAGATGTGGGAATGTTTGCATCAAATATATACCCAAATCAACCAACACTGCTAACAATTTACAGGTCTCTTGTTAGACATGAATGGTTACGCCATTTTCATATAGATTGTCAGCCATGTTCTTTTAGGGTTCAAGTCTTCATTGAATTTAAATATTCATTGTAAAACTATTGCATCAAAGAAATGGCCACTTACTTTTTTCTCAGGTTTGGCATCCTTAACTCTTGTGTCGTCTGCTACATCTGGGGTAGGAGCAGACGCAAGTTTCGAGAACAAATCACCATCGTCATCATCATCATCGAGAAAAAGAGAGGAGGCTGCTGGAGCTTTGCTGGTAGTTGATTTACTTGGTGCCTCTACAAAAGTAAAACATAAGGATGAAAGATGATAAGCACTATGCAGTGAGCAATGAGGGAAAGTTGAGGATGTTAAATCCTTATGATAAGAAAAAAATTCCTTTTGAACTGACCTGTTTTGGGTTGAGCAGGTTTTGACGTTACAGTAGAAAACAGGTCGTCATCATCCTCATCATCAAACAGTCCCCCTCCAGCAGACGGCTTTGAGATAGGTTTGATTGTCGGCTGTGATACCTGTGGTGGAGGTTCCTTATCAACCTTTACTGAACTACCAAATAAATCATCATCACCACCTAGAGAAATAAAAATAAATCATGACATCGTTTCCATGGCTATGTCCATCTCATTCAATGTGTAAAAGATTGGAGACCAGTACGGATAATCCAGGAAAGAACAATGCCAAGAGCTTTGTCAAAGAGCCAGATTGTTGTTATCCACGGTATTGTCGATGGTTGAAGGGTTGATGATCAGCAGCAAGCCAACATAGAGGGTGTAATACTAATATCAATTAGAAATCACGAAATCTAGGAATGAGGATCTACATACCTCCAAAAATAGAGATTCCACCAGCTGGTACACGCTTACCACTCTTAGTTCTTGGTCTGGTCTCTTCTGAAAAAAAAATCACAGGCTTAAATTCAGAAAGCAATGCCAAAGATACAGAAATTGGACATACCTTGGACAGCATGTCAGCATCCCTTTCAGAGAGTCCACATAGCTAATATCATGTATTTATCAAATCTGTACTCACCTTTGGGTGGAGCCTCTTTTTCAACTTCCTCTTCTTCCTCTTCTATTATGACATTTTCAGTTTTCTCTGCTGCTAATTTTTTCTTGGGTTTTTCTTCGATATCGTCAAAGAGACCTCCCTAAATCAGAAAATTATATCGTGATAAAATATGACCGCTAAAATTGTAGCAAGGAGGCGTGTCATCAGGCAAAGACATAAGGAAGTGTACGTTCCCTCAATCTAATTAAAATTTGGTCTCCATTGTAATCTAACAAGTTTTCTACCACAGTCAAGTTCAAATGATGTTATCTTTAACCAATCAAAGCGTGTCATGTAGGAACCCTCTCTTGATAACAAGAATGAATCAAAGGATAGCGTAAATGATAGTGGCGGCCATTTCGCGGAATAAAATTCAGACTTGTCACTGATTTACTTACCCCTTCATTATCATCATCATCAAATAACCCTCCACCAGAAGAAAATAGTCCCCCTTTCTTTGAAAATAGTCCATCTTCTTCTTCTCGTACACTTCCACTAAATAAATCAGGCTCTGAAAAAAAAGGCAGACGCACATTAATATAACAATTTCTTCAAAGCATGCCATACAATGAAGTGGCCTTCGCAAACATTTAATCATTGAATTGCTGTAGAACTGCTCACTTATATTTCCATTCTAAAAAGAGTCACGGATGGCTAAAATGAAACTCAATCATGTGTCAGACGACCATATCTCATTAATGTACCCCAAAAAAATACCTAATTCCTCTTTAATTTTACTTTTACTTCTCTCTTTTCTGCTCTTTTTACTTTTCTTACTTTCAACTTTTTCTGAAATTAAATACAATTTATCAGTCACTTGTTTTCAGGCCATTTTTACTTTACAAAGAGACAGTGAATCACATAAGGGTGAAGGCATCTTCACAATGTCAAGCTATTACGAACTGCATACCCACTGCCTTGGACCCTATTCTTGTATCACACAATGCGGCGATTTGATTGGATTGTTCGCTAGCTAATACAGCCAATCAGAGCCCTCGACAGAAAGATTTAAACATTGCGGCTTATGGTTTACAGTCTTTCTGTTGAAGCTCTGATTGGCTGTTTTCAGTAGCAAACAATCCAACAAACGTACAAACTTCTGTGATACAAGAAAAGTGGCTATTGCAGTCAAGGTATAAGACACAGTTTGTACTAGCTTGGCATTGTGAAGATAAGGTTAAATCATTACATAAGGCAAATATAGCTTCAAAACCTCCTATAAGGTTCATAACAAGGGCCTAGTGCAGTTTAATAAACAACCTCATTGTAGGCTGTAGTATAAAATCAGTAATAAAGTAGAGTTTTCTCCCTTTAATCAGTAAACCTTCCATAATTTCAATGCTGTACCTTGGGGTTCTGTTTCCTCTATAGGCTCTGCAGGTGCTGGCTTGGCAGATGGAACACCAAGCTTAGAGGCTAATTCTGAGGCAAAATCAGGGACAGCTGGCTGCAAAACATAAAAACAAAGGAAAGAAATTTAATATTGAATTCGAGAGAAACAAACATGAAACCTCAGTAAGAATTCTAAGATAATCGTACTTTTAACTGTCTTTTTTTTTAAATTCCAAAAACAAAAAATGATGTGTCACCTTTTTGACAGCAGCGGGTTGTTCCTCTTCTTCGCTGTCGTCAGGTGTATCACTATGACTACTGACATCATCAATATCGTCATGACGACTAGATTTCTTTTTCTCACTAAACATATCTTCTTCTTCGCTGGATTCTTCAGTCTCTGAGTCCTAAAATAAAGTAATTACAAAGTTTCAGCATGAATATTCTTGTACAAAAAAGTCAAAAATGACAAAATGAAAGCCATGCAGATTGAAAATAAGCTATGAAAAAGCTATATAAAGTTAAGCTATCAAAAAGCTATACAAATTCAAGCTATGAAAACAGCTCGTTAGGTTACGAAATATGAAAGCTATACCTGCGTTGAACCAGATGATTTTGTTAGACCTCGAGGTTTTCGTTTGGAAGGCAAATTATCATCAGACATATCATCACTGAACTAAACAACATCAAAACAAACAATAAATAACATAACCATGCATATATAAACAAACATAAGATATAAAATGCATATACAAGTGTTAAAAAGCAACATAAACGTAACCATGCATTCTTAAATAGTATTTATAAGCCAATACAATGAAAACTCTTACAAATTTTACGGATTTTTCAGATTTCACAGGGATTCTTTTTTGAAAAAAAAACCAGACTAACCTCTGAATCTGTATCAATGTCCTGTTTTTCCGACTGGCTGTCTTCACTTATACTTCCATGATCTGTTGGTTCTTCTTCTACAAAATACAGTGGAATAGATCAGTCAGAAGTGAGGTGAATTGTCGTCTGCTAGACAATTAGGTGCCTAAGGTTCAAATCCTTCTCAAGATTAGCTCAGTCAGTAGCAAGTTGAATTGTCGTCTGCTAAGACAGTGAAATAGTTCATAGACAACTACCGTATATTCCCTATAATTTCAGCCATATGTATCACCTCTAAGATTGAAAATGTAGTGAGTCTACAATCAAATAGATTTACCTGATTCATATTCTGTTAATCCAACATTATCGTCTTGTAAGAAATCAGGTCCACCAATCAAACATGGCATTGGTCTTGTCACGTACGGATCCTGTGGAAAAAAATAACCATCATCATATTCACGACTTTTCTAATGGAAAGACAATGTCCTTCAGTATACAATGAAGGAAAAAATTCAAGAATTTTTCATTTCATTTAAACAACAAGATGCTTTTAGACTATCTTTGATCTTTTATACAGAAGAGTTCATTATCCAAATTGCGGGTATATCACACTTAATTCATCCTTATTTTTAATTCAAACAAAAAGATAGACCTACCTTTGCCTCAAGAATGGGATCAACCCTATAATTGACATCTTCATCATCTTCGGAATCAGAATTAGCTACGTTTGTATCTAACGCTTCAAACGCCTGGTCGATCACATCTACACCATATTTCAATGCTGCCGTCACTTTAGGTATTAATTCTGCTTCACGCTCCTCGCGTGTCTTTTCCTGGAAAAGATACAATTTATTTCTCAAATCTTTTGGCTGGTTGGAATTGTTGTAACCATAGCAACACAGTTTTCATGTAGTTTGATTGGTTAATATAATATCTGGGAATAAGATTAACCAATCAGATTTCTTCATTTTCGTTTTATGATTATCGCATACTTTTTTTAATCAAATCTTTTATCGAACAAGGCTTTATCGACATAAGATTTCATGGATTCAATTGGTTAATATAATAACTGATCAACCAATCAGATTCCTTATTACAAAACTCTTAAAACATCACTATTTAGTTTCTTAAATGGATGGTAAAGACTTTTTTCTAAAGGATGTTTCGTCATTTTTTTTACCTGATCTTTTTTCTGTTCATCTTGTTTTTTCTCCATAGCATTCACATCTTCATCGTAGACTCTCTAAAATACAAAATAGAATCAAAAGTTATAGTTTGGTTCGAAACAACAATCCCTGAACACTTATCAATATATTTATTTGCAACCTGGCTCTGAACAAGTAAACCTTGATATACTTACATTTTCTACAAACTGTGTATTAGCCAACATCATAAAACCATTAAAAACATTGTTTACTCTGACATCAGTTAACTGTAAACAAACAAACAAACAAATAGAAACCCAATTACTAGCAATCGGAAACACAAAACAAAACCCCAAATAACATATTGGCAATACATTGGTAGCAGGTAATGAACTTTTTATATGAGCAAGTATATCAATTATAATGGAGAAAGTATTTCATTATCAATAAAGTAAAACTCACCTTGGCTTCATGAACCAATCCTTCTACTGATTTTTCAATTTCATGAGTCCTGGAAATGATTCTCTGTGAGAATTCCTGCAGGTGTTGTAACAACTATAAATAGAAATAAAATAATTATTGTTGATTATCATCCTTTGATAAAAGTTCTTCAACGAAATCATGGCATTTTCTAAGGAACTTGTCTTTAAACAAGAGGTAGTGAATACAGCTGGGAGCTGGATTGTCATATACTGAGAATTTAGGTACCATTCCCTCAAGTTAATTAATTATTTTTACAGAGCCAGTGCTTTCGAGAACCAGTTATCAGCTTTTAACCTCTAAACATTATCATTGATTTTTTGTTTAAGCTGAACCTACCCCTGCATCTCCTGCAAGTGTCCAATTGTAAGCAGATTTTCTGATTTCATCCACTGACCACGGTCTTTCCCAAATTTGAGGTCCATTTTGTCCACCACTTGCTTGTGCAGCAGACGTATCTCCCACAGTCTGAAACAAGACCAAAAATTCAATATTGATCAAATGACAAGTCAAAAGAGAAACCGAAAGTAGCGAAAAGTAAACACTAAAAATGAAATATTGCATCGAAAACGATCAAAATCGGACGACGTTTGCAATCAAAATATTCATTTTTGTGAAGACTAAGCTTTATTCCACAGATCTAAACAAAAATAAATTAGCTGATTTCAATACCTGAGACGTATTTCCACTTGAAAAGTCTTCAGCTGAAGTGGGCGGAACGGGCGGCGCCATGTTTGTTGTAATTGTCATGTGACACTGAGACCGTTTTCGGTTTTCAATCTCTACTTATTAAACCGGTTTCGGTGTAAGCAGACGAATCATTGTGTACCAGGGGAAAAAAAAAATTTTATCTAAAAAAATTAATATATATGCACCATTATTTCACAACGTATATTAAAAAACAATTTCTAGTCACTATTTTTATATATATGCGATTTTTCAGAAATAAAATGCAAAATTATTCATCTATACAGATTGCTCAATGAAAGCTCCCTGACCTAGTTTCTCCCAGATGTCGGGTCAATCGTAATTAGGTCAACTAAATCTATTTTTAGTCATGAGGAATTTGAGGGAAGCCCTTTAGTCAAAATGAAAAGTTTTACCAAGTTTTAAATAATGAATAACATTGATTAAAAGAGTGAGAGTTAGGCGAGCAGACGCCCAAGATGTCTGGGAAGAGAAAGCCGTAAGTTGAAAGTCTTGAGTGTTTATGAATTTTGATGGACTTACTTGTTTCATATGTGACCCTCTTGGCAGTCTTGGGCTGGAAACATCATTTCATTTTGTCAGATAGGAAGTCCTCTTCAATTTCTGTATAGGGGTGTATCTAGAAAATCCCTGGGGGGAGGGTGAGGGGGCTGAAATGAGGGATGTCCCTCTGAAGCAAAGCCTGAAGTGCATAGGGGTCTTGGAGTTTCCAGAGGCCCCCGGAAAGCATCAGGCATCCCAAGTTAAAATACGTCACTGCTTCTATACATTGCAGTACCCTTCTGGACACCTTGGATCAAATGTTAGTGACATCTTGGGAAATAAAGATAGGCTCGTAGGTTAGGGAAAGCAGATGTCTGATTCTGAAAAGGGACACAGGCAGCTCCAATGGAGCTTCTTCAGCTGATGACCATTTAATTGTATGTTTTATGATTTGATATTGTAGAGATCTGAAGGTGATAATAATGGGGGATTATGCTGTGGGTAAAACGTCTCTAGTTTGTCGTTATATAGAGGATAAATTTATTAAACATGAACCGGTGAGTACGATGCTAATTTCGATGCCTTGGTTAGTTCTTTTGGCACCCTAGTCAGTTCCTTTTGACACCTTGGCCAGTTTCTTTTGACACCTTATTCAGTCCCTTTGACACCTTGGTCAGTCCCTTTGGCACCCTAGTCAGTACTTTTGACACCTTGGCCAGTTCCTTTGACACCTGTGTCAGCCCTTTTAATCAACCAGAACATATTTTAAAAGGGTTAATTAAAAACTTTAATGAATTTTTTTCTATCTCATTTTAGACAATTGGAGCAGCATTCTTTTTAAAACAATGGGGCCCTTATAATGTGGCTGTGTGGGTAAGTCTCTTTAAATTTTATGCCTCAAATCCCTGTGGTTTAGATGTGCAAATATGGACTTCTGTTTAACTATGATTTGAATGATTAGACATTAAGAGTAAAGGTCTAGAGCTCTAAAGAGTAAAGGTCTAGAGCTCTGAAGAGTAAAGGTCTAGAGCTCTGAAGAGTAAAGGTCTAGAGCTCAGAAGAGTAAATGTCTAGAGCTCTTAAGAGTAAATGTCTAGAGCTCTAAAGAGTAATGGTCTAGAGCTCTAAAGAGTAATGGTCTAGAGCTCTAAAGAGTAAAGGTCTCAATCTCTAAAGAGTAAAGGTCTAGAGCTCTAAAGAGTAAAGGTCTAGAGCTCTGAAGAGTAAAGGTCTAGAGCTCCAAAGAGTAAATGTCTAGAGCTCTAAAGAGTAATGGTCTAGAGCTCTAAAGAGTAATGGTCTAGAGCTCTAAAGAGTAAAGGTCTCAAGCTCTAAAGAGTAAAGGTCTAGAGCTCTGAAGAGTAAAGGTCTAGAGCTCTGAAGAGTAAAGGTCTAGAGCTCTAAAGAGTAATGGTCTACAGCTCTAAAGAGTAATGGTCTAGAGCTCTAAAGAGTAATGGTCTAGAGCTCTAAAGAGTAAAGGTCTCAAGCTCTAAAGAGTAAAGGTCTAGAGCTCTAAAGAGTAAAGGTCTAGAGCTCTAAAGTGTAATGGTCTAGAGCTATAAATAGAGTAAAACAATAGAAGAGAGGTTGAACAATATAGCCTACAAGTGTGATTTTATGTATCTCTATAATGACTCACTGTATAGTCACCAAGATACTTGACTTCTAAAACTGAATAATCAAAGGAATAGACATCTGATATAACTTTTCATTATGAAATAATTACTCACTTATCATTGATATACTTCCTCATATGAAAAGTTAATTAGCTGTTAACAACGTTTTACTCTATATTTGTATTCTAGGACACGGCAGGTGATGAAAGGTATACAGGACTCTCCCATTTCTACTGTCGAAACGCAGGGGCGGCCATCTTAGCTTACGATATGTCAAATCCACAAACTTTCGAATCTTTATGGTAAGAAGTTTTGTATTATCCATACACAAAAACATAGGCCATGGAGTGAGAAATTGTCTTTGCCTTGAATGAGACCTCACCTTTTCTCATACTGCGCAGAATACATACACAAATGCATAGACCATGGAGTGAAAATTAGCCTCTTGACTTAAGGGAGATCTTACCAGGCAGATAGAATCCTCATTGTTATCCTTGTGAAAAATGGTTCCTTTCTTTTCTATTCAACTCTGCTAAAATTATTCACCATTTTGGAATATTTTCAGGGCTAGGTTTATGCCACTACTTAATTCGTCCACTGAAAAATGTCTGAAGATTGTCGTGGGAACGAAAATGGACCTCATTCCACCAGAAGAAAGGGACATAACTCTGGAAGAAGGAAGAAAATTAGCTCATGAATTAAACGAGGGACTAGATATATCCAAACTAGCATGTGAACCGTACTTTGAAACCTCAAGCAAAGATGGCAGCCATGTGTCTGAGGTGTTTGAATGCATATTTCAATATTGTCTCCCTTTATCGGGGGATCAAAGAAGCAAGTTTGGACTAAGTACTAGTACCGTGGACTTGTATGAAAAGGAACCGAAACGTGCAACAGCTAAGAAAGGTTGTTGTTGAATTTTATGATAATTTTATAGTGCAAATATTTTTGTTAAAGGAATTGTAAAGACTATTTATGTGTATCTAATTACAGCTTCAATTTGCACCATTCAAATTTGCAATCAGATGTCTATGGTTCCTGCAATTCCACTTTAGACATTCCAAGACATGTATATAACTTGTAATTTTATAATTAATGTTTTTTTAGTAGCTTTTTATATCTTTTGGCCAGTTTTTCTTCTTGATATTGTTCATTTTAATTGGTTCTCGAGAGGCTACAAGGTTGGCTTTCCACCCTAGAAAATTTGTTTGTACCCCCATTTGTCCAATTAACCAAAGTACTGAATTTTATTTTGTGTAATTTTAATGTCCGATGCTTTTGAATCCAAAAGGTGTCTATCCCCAACCACCATTTTTAATCGTTTATTCGAAGACAAAAATAAACTTAATATGTTATATAAATATTTATTAGGGACGGACAATTTTGTACATTTCATTTTACTATATAATAAATTACAATAAGATTCTTTTACTTTCAAGGTAGTATCATTTCTAGTTGTATAAAAAGTACATCATTTTTTTGCCAGAGCTGACTCTTTTCAGCTCTCTTTTTTTGACAGATGTCATCCAGTTAAAGTAAGGAAACAAAGTTTGCAAAGATATTCATGTACATCCATGCACAATTAGGTGTCTAGTCGTTCGGATGGGACAATAAACTGAGGCCCTGTGTGCTACAGGCTGTCACAAATATCTTTGTTAAAATATAAATGCATGGAATCAAGGCTGGATAGAATATGACAAGCAACAGAAAGAACACCCCTAATTTTACAAATGAGCTCTTCCAAGTATACATATTCCCTTCCTTATTGATACAAAGTATGCATGTGAGGAAGAGTTCAATATAAAGTTGAGGGGGGTCCAAAAGATGACTGGCACACTATATCCAGATTTGCATGAAATGTATGATTAAATGCTAAGATGATTACAGACGCGAAAAATATCACTGCCAAAAGGTTTGGCCATGGATCAGCGAGTCTGTGAGTCCAGCACAATTGAATTGCAGCACATTTTGAATAAATATACACAGCACTTGGTCAGTATCTCAGAGCCTCCATTTCGGTATTTTATCACCTTTCTTCATAAATAGCTGAAATGGAGAAGAATGTAATTATCATTTGGCCATTAATTTCACCATGATTGGCAAATGTTGCTCAATGCTGCCAAATTTAATACGTCTAGGGTTTGAGGTGAAAAAAGCTTCTATCCGTTTCGATCGGACAAAAAATCTATATGCTCAAGATCTTTTGCTCCAATTGAAAATAAGAAAATAGTATCTGAACTAATGCTGAAGGCCTAGAGAAAATTTCCCTCATTGCACACTGCATAGTGTTGCCTGTCCTCATTAATTTGAACTGATACTTACTCTTGTAGCGTACCATCGAGTGTGGTATCAACCGGAGCCTTATCTAAACGTCTTTCTGTACACAACTCGTGCTTCAATCTTTCTGCCGCCCTTAAATTACTGTCCTTCACGTGTTTTAATACTGTAGATTTTATCTTGTTCAATGTTTCTAAGTACTGGGACTGAAGCTGGGCCACAAGTTGAGAGTTTGGTTTAGAGTGGTTTAAATAGATCTGCTGCTTCTTTTCAAAATCCGTTACCATGGCTTCCTTCTCCATTCGGAAATCCTGTTTCAATTTTTGGATGTAGTTTTTATGGCTCTCCCTCATTTCCAACATTTTTTGATGAAATTCCACTGACATGGTTTTGTTTTCTTCAATTAAAACATTGCGTACATATTCGATTTCATTTTGATGTTGTTTCTTTATGTCTTTCATGGCTCGTTCGGCCATACTGGATTTGCTGCAAGATGACATTCGTGAGTCATCGCTCTTCTCAAAACTCTTTTCCGAATTACACGTCAAATTCTTCAAGAAGCTGTTATTTAAGGAACTGTCTTTACTATCATCACTTCCAGGGTCTTTCGGTGCTTTCTCATGCTTGTTTTTCGGCAAGCCTGGTAGACTCTTCGCTTCAGTTTTGGTTTGGAGTTTCTCATCTGGACCAGAATTCAGGTTCTCAACGAAGCTGGAATCGTTGGGTTTGGAATATTTGGCAGTCAATTGCTTGATTTCCATCTCTTTAATGATTTCCTCTTTAGCGCTGATTTTCATTTGCAGATTCTGAATTTCCTTATGAAGATCTTTTTCAGTCTCGGTAAAAGAATCCTTTGTGGTCTTTAACTTGTCTTCATATTCTGTCCAGAGTTGTCTTTCTTGTTTTTCTCTCTCCTCACATTCTGTGACATACATTTCTTTAATTTTGTCCAATTCTTGTAAAGCTGTGTCCAATTCTGACTGTGTCACCATATTTTTGGTCTCTTCTTCCAATTTCCCTAATTTTTGATTCAAGTCGTTGTTAATGGTGATTAATTTCTCTTCGTTTTCCACCATTTCTTGTAAACGTTTTTCAATTTCGTCGCCATCTTTCCTTGTCTTTTCACTCGATTCCAATGTCTTGCGTAAAATTTCCACATGACAGTTGGCGTTGGTCAAATCTCTCTGAAGTCTTTCGACTAAATCCTGCAGTTTTTTAATAGTGGAGTGGTTGCTTTCAATCTCGTGTCGAAGTTCGGCCATGATTTTTTCAGAATGCTGATCATCTAGGTGACTAATATTAGGTGTGCTATTAAAATGAAGAGTTTTTCTAATGCCAAGGTCCACCATGGAATCATCTTGAACATGCTCTAAGAGTTCCGAAGATTTGGAAAATGTCCCAAGACGACTAGCAGATTTGGAATGCTTGATTTGTTCTTTAAGCTCTTGAACTTCTTGCTGCAGACTTTTATAAAGTTCCCCACCTCCTCGCAGGCTCTCATTCTTTTCCAGGAGCGATGCCTTCATTCTTTCTTCCTGGAGTTCCTTATTCAGAGAATCGATGGCGTCTTCCTTCTCAGAGATGACCTGAAACGCTTTATCTAGTTTTTCGTTCAAGACTAGACGTTCTTGATCAAATTTTTCTTGAAGGCCTGTGATCATCATTTCATTTTGCTGTCGATGTTTATTTTGGGAATCTGAAAGTTGTAAATCCATGATTTGGTAATTAAGATTTTCAATACTGGTTTCCGCAGCTGTCAATTTCTTAACCATATCTTCGCGAATTTCCGCTAGCCTTCTACTTTCGTTTTCTTGCTTTTCCAAATTCATTTTCAAAGTATTATTTTCTTCTGTCACGCCTTTAGTGGATTCTTCAAGTTGACGATTTAATTTCTTTAAGCGTTCTTTCTCTTCTTCTAAAAGAGTCATTTGATGTTTGAATATTCGCATCTCGCGTGCCGATTCCGTTTTCAAAGTTTCATATTTGTGAGCGAGTTCTTCAGCTTCATGAGCTCGAGCTTTGTTCAGGATTTTTAATTGCTGGATTTCGTCTGAATATGAATCTAGTACATGAGGTTCTGGAGCGTTTCTCTTATTGGGTAAGCTGTCATCATCGTCAGTGTGGTATTGAACCTTGTGTGGAACATCTTGGTACTGGTTGGTTGGTTCGGTATAGCCGTTTTGGTGTGTGTCAAAATTCTGAAACTGGTTTGGATGTGGAGGATGATCATGGGAAAGGAAGTCTTGACCAGCTTGTTGGAACTGATGATGAGGTACCTTGTTTTGATGATGTCTATAATGATCTTGGTCTAAACTCGTGCGTGAAAATTGATGAGATGGAATGTTGTGGAAATCTTCGACACTTTGACTCTGGCGTCTCAAAACTTGATGATCTGTTGCCAGATTTCTTTGCTGGAATTGATTGTGATATTGTTGATCAAAGTCCTGGCTTGTTCTGCCATAAAGTGGATTGTTTTCAGGAGCTTCTAGTGGTTGGGTGACTGGATTCGGATAGGAGATGTCTAAACTACTCCGTCCTTCGAAATTATAACGATTTTCCGTGAAGTAACCATTTCCAGCATCAGGTTGAGGATGAGGTTCTGGGGTTTCTGCGTAGTGATTGAAATTTTCTGCATAATTATTCTGCGTGTAATAATCTGCTGGTCTGTTGTTAGGGTAGGATTCTCTGGCCTCAATTTCAGGATGATTATTCCTAACATGGCCCAACTGCTCGGTTCTTGGATCAACATTATTGGATGGGAGTGATGAAAACTGCTGCTGATAATTTGTGGTAGAGAATGGTTGAAAGTTTCTGTTGTTCAAAACTTGGTGAGGTTGTGGATATTCTGAAATCACTTCATTCTGATGAGAATGGGATGGATCAAGTGGGTGAAAATTTTGTTGATTTGCCTGGTGCTGAAACTGGTCATTTTGTGAATATAAGGCACCATTTCTGTGATTTTCAGAATGTTTGTCATTGTCTCCATGATGTCCCTGATTAAAAGATGAATCACCTTGAAAGCTACCACCATCGTGACTCTCGTTTTCTTCAGAAGTTTCCGATAAAATATCTTCATCCATTAAATCGAAAGCATTGGTCAACATTTGACGGAGTTCATCTTGTTGCTGTTCTTCCTCTCTTTGATATTCCAGTTCCTGGAGATTCTGAACTTCTCTGCCATCGAAGTGCAGACTTGTTCCAACACTTCCAGGGTCCATGACGCACAAATAATGTAATATATTAGCAAAATATTCAAAAATTAATCATCACCGGAAGTCAAAACATTTGTATACGCCGCCATCTTGGATGCATTCCATTGAAGGTGTAGTGTAAAATTCGATTTGGTTTTGTTATATGGCAGGTGTAAAAATAGGTTTTGGATTCACTTTTGGTGTGAAATCATTACATTTTTGATTGTTTTGGGAGTCGTTAGTATGCAAGAATAACCATATTGGACAAATAGATTAGAAATCTGTATTTCTTAAAGGCTCACATTCATTTGGGGTCAAATGAATTTCATAAATACACCTATGTAGGCTTAGGTCACTGGCTTAGGTCACAAATAAAGAGATCTGCTCCTGCCATTCAGGGTTGGTTTGATATGAGGGGCCTCTCGGAAGCACTGGCACTACACTTTTTCTTTAAAACAAGAGATTTGGACATAAGCTAAAAGTTCAGAACCTGTTCCAAGTGTGCCGAAAAAATAGTAGGTGTAGACAAATGCAAATGGCGGAAGAGGAAATTGATGGGAAAATTTTGATGGTACATATATCTGCTCTCATACCATTTGATTGGCGGCAGAATTGGAACAGACAGAACCTTCTCAGAACTCTCCAAACAAGCGCCACCTATATAAAAAAAAGGGACTTCACCATAAGATATCATTTATTCTTTTTATTGTGGTTTTTATTTACATTTTTACAATAATTTATAAAGATGGAAGAAAACAAACAAACAATAAGGGTAATAATTTCAAACATTCTTAATCCGCAGGAAATTTTGTCTCTTTTTTTACCCCTGGGGAGTAATAAGGATCATAACTCTGAATTTGAGGGAGGAAGATGATTAGACCGAACGCTTTCTCCACCAATGTTACCGCCGTCTTTCTCCCTTTTGTGTACGTTTTTTCTCAGCCTCCTTTCTATCTGCCTGTTTATTTTTCTGGGTCTCGCGATCTAGTTTATCTTTTTCACGTTTTCTGTCCGATTCCGCTTTGGCTGCATCTCTTTTAGCCCTTTCTTTAGCTGCTACATCTTCAGAGTTTGTGTTTTTAAATGCTGATAAAACTAAAAATCTCTAGTTAAGAAAATAAAATAAAGTGTATTCGGTTAAAATCTAAAAAAGATGTAATGATCATACTTTACCAAAATAACAACTTAAATCAAACAAAAAAAAGGTGACTTTCCACCAGCTGGTAGTTGGCCAAATATCTTTCATGGAGGTTGGCCCTGCTTTGAGAAATTTAATAAGGTTGTTAGAAAGATTTCTGCTAAACAATGTGTGACATCACCATTACAACAGCTTAAGTTGCAAAGTTTAATATTATTTTTAAAAGGATACAATCATCAACATTAGTAATGTGTTTACCACCAGTTGAACCTTGACTAACAGTTTCTATCTCTTCATCAGATTCTCTACAATATAGCTCAGGAAAATAGATTCATATATTTCACAAAAATATTACAGAAAGAGAAGCTAACCACTAACTGGCTAAAAATGATTGGATTTTTGTTTAAAAGCTCATAATATCATAGTCTACTGCTACATCTTCAGCTTGGACATGCCAATTGATTTTATTCAACCAGGATTCTTGGCATGCAGCCACCTTAGATCTTTGTCTTGATATCAATAGGCACTTTTTCTTTTATCATGGAATCCAGCGATTTGATTGGATTGTACACTAGGAATTACAGCCAGTCAGAGCCCTTGACAGAAAGAATGTAAATATCATTGCTTATTGTTTACAACCTTTTTGTCCAGGCCTTTTATTGGTTGTATTTGCTAATGTAAAAGCAAACCAAATCGCAGAAATTACAAACTTCAGAGATAAGTGGCTTATGATGTCAAGGTATAAGACAACATTAAGATACAAGGATACGTTTCAGAGCCACTTGGTACCATACAATATTGATTTAAAATGGCTTCCTTTCGAGCCTTCTCATCTTTCGATTTTGATTTGACTTTAGAAACTTCTAACTTCTGCTTCTCAAAGATTTCACCAAGTTTATCTAAAATGGAACACAAAATTTAAAAAATAAATAATTTATATCTACTTTTTTAATTAGTTTTTGCAATGATTCAATGACCTCGCATTCAATTTTGAGAAAATCAATTACTAGAGAGAAAACCTGTTGCACTTTCCATTCAAATGAAAGTAATAAATTTTTAAATTAGATTTCCATTGGAAATAGTGTGCCAGTCATCTATCTGACACCCCTTAAACTTTAATGGACTCCAAACATGTGCTCTTACTATCAATATGACACAATCTGTTCGGTAGAGTTTATTTGCTAAATCAGAGTAGTTTTTTGTTACCTGTAATATCAGGCTTGGGATGTTTTTTACTCTCTTCTTCTGCTTTCTGTTTTTCAAACTCTTTCCATTTATCGTAAATTTCTATACTAGCCTCTTCACAGCCTGATTCCTGTAAGAATGAAAATGAATTCCAAAGTCTAAAGAATCTTTTTTGACTGAAAATCAGGATGGTGCTATCACAAGCAAGCTATGAGTGTCCTTAAGGCTTACAAAGGCTAACAATCTCCTTCACTATATCATATGGAAAATAGTTTTGCTTCACTGGCAGGCCATCCATTTATACCAAAGAATTCCACCATACGTCCCTCACTACTGAGTTCATTTTCAAAAAAAGGAAGGGGGGGGGGTAACAATTTTTGGAGGGTATTCTTACTATTAGACTAGAAAAAAAGACGGCCATGGACTCTTTCTGCTCTTCTTCATCAGACTCGCTCTCCAAAATACCAATAATGTACGTTCCAAACACCTCAGTGTCTGTGTTAGGGTCTAAACTCAATAATTTTTCATCCAACCATTTCTGGAAAGCTTCCATGGAGGCTTCCATCTTGGAAAATGAAAATTTTGATTTGGTTTTGACGAAACGTAAATCTGTTTTGCCATCATTTGACCAATATTGTCCGTATTTTGTCACAATGTTTTGGGCCATAATTTACTCCGAAAGCATGGATGGCAATTAAAAGGACGTAAGCTTTAAATTCAAATAGTTTCTTTTCTTGTGGCAATCATAACTCCATAATATTAATGGCAGCCGACCGGAAGTTGCATGTGCAAAATGTAAACAAACTGAATGAAGGAGGCAAAAATGAATGTATTTTAATTAACAGTGAATACGATCGTCTTAACAGGTAATTATTGAGACTTAATGGCCATGGATGGTATTTGCTGACCATGATTTTCATCAGAACTACGCATGACAAGTGCTGAGTAGCCTACTGAGTTGTGAAGCCGGCTTTAAAAGTTAAAAGTTAGAGCTCCCCCTCCCCCCACCTCCAAATTTAGCAGCAGAGGCATTTGATTTTAATTTTTGACTACCATTCTCTTTTTTAGGGTCTAAAATGATGATACTCAAATCCTCTCCAGAAATCTTCAAATTTTCATCCAGGATATTCACCAGAAAGTATTCTACTTTAAAACCAGAGAAGATTGTGATTGTCTCAAGATCCCGAAACATTTTTGAAAATTTAGCTCTGGAAGACTGGTTATACAAAAATGCAGACTTGAACAATCAGTCTTATTTATTGATGTGGAAGAACACTCCAGCCATTGTGATAGGGCGTCATCAAAACCCTTGGTACGAATGTGATGTTAATACGGTAGTCAAAGATGATGTAGACCTAGCCCGAAGGAATAGTGGAGGTGGGGCTGTTTACCATGATGAAGGGAATTTAAACTGTTCGTTTCTGATGGCACGAAAATTGTACAATCGTAAGAAGAATCTGGAATTAGTCGTGGATGCTGTCAAGTCCAAGTGGGATGTTGATTTAACAATCAACCAAAGAGAAGATATCATTTTAAATGGACTTTATAAGGTGCAGAATTTTTTAATTATCTCCCTTTAGTCTTCAAATTAGAAAAAGAGTAGGTGTAGACAGAATTCAAAATGGCCGAGAAGGAAAAGTTTGAATGTGCCATATCCGCTTTCATACCGTTCGATTGAGGACAGAATTGGAAGAGACGGAATCTCAAATCAAGCGCCATCATAATTTTTCATGTTCTGTTTTGTAGGTTTCTGGTACAGCTGCTAAACTAGGGGGAGATAAATCTTACCATCATTTTACTCTATTGGTAGACGTTGATAAAAATAACTTGAGTCAGTATCTACAGTCGCCCATGGTAAGTCTGCACCAATTTTTTTATTTCTGGACAACCTGAGATGTTATCGACAGTTGGGAATAGAAAAGGGAGACTATGGGCAAATTTCCCTCATTGCACACTGAAATGTGTTACCAATCTTCATTAGCCTAATCAGGTATTTTTCCATTGTGGCTTTGATTCTTATATCAATTTTAAATCATGGGCTATCAATTTTGGCTATGTGAACTCTATAAAAGTTATATTTATTTTTCCAGACTGGAGTTAAAACGAAAGCAACAGCAAGTGTGATATCAAATGTAATGAATTTAAATGAAGCAGATGAAGACCTCACTGTAGATAAAGTCATTAAAGCCATCTCAGGCAAATTTCTTCACCATCAAATAGTAAGTTGAAAATTTATATTAAAGGAATTCCCCCGCTTAGACTGACCAAAACAGGAAATTATATGAGGTAGTATTCCTTTAACTTGCTCTTATATTGGGAACTTTGTTTCTTTTTTCTTTCAAACTTTCATACCATAAATTTTTAAGCTTTAATTTTTACTCAACCACTCCAGTTAGGATCTTACACCTTCTCTAAATAACTTTCATTCTGATTCATAACACCAACAGCCAATCAAATTTCTTCCCTTTCCAGCGCTAACACAAGGTCTAATGCTTGGTATAGGCCTACCAGCAAATTCATATTCCTAGCTTTTTATTTGTTGGGTCTACGTGTTATTTTTTTACTTTGCCTGCCCAAACAATTAGGCAATCTCTGGTGTGTTAGATGGTGATGAGAACATAAACTCATAAAAGCACTGGCCTAGGTTAGATGATAGTCTTTTTCTCTTTTTTTTAAATATTTTTTTTGTTATTTTCTACTCCAGATTCCTAAAATTGAAAATGTTTTTCCATCCGAAATCAGTTTTCCTGGTTTTACTAAAATTCTTGCGGAACTCAAAACATTTTCTTGGATTTTCGGAAAGACTCCTAATTTTATGATTAGCAAATCATTTGTGAGGGATTTAGACTCAAAGCAATGCTTTTGTGAACTGGACATTCTGGTCGAAAAAGGAATAATTCAGGATATTAGGACCACAGTTAATTTCCCGCATTCTGGAAAGTTTGGAGTGCTGCTAGGAGTGCCTTACAACCCTCAGGAGTTATTGCCCTTGTTTAATATATTAGAAAGTGAGGTGGATTATAATGAGGTGGATTTATGGATATTAAATTGTATTAAATTATCATTGAACCTGTGACTTTAATATGACATAATTGGAATCAAAGTCATCACTAAGTCATTCGCTAAGTCATCGGTGATTTTGTGTGGTTTGTGACTTAAATTGGAACTAAAGTCATCATACGTAGTAAGGGTGGCAAAGTTATTTTGCGTCCATTGTGACTTAATGTTATTGATATTCAAGTCATCACTAAGTCATATAGAGATTATTGTTTTAGTGGAATTGCAGGAACCAGAAAAGTCTGACTGAAAATTAGAATGCTTGAAATCAATGCCTAAATGACTTTTCTAGAGACACTGCCATATATAGATAAGAAATAGTGAGTAAAATTCCTAGTTTGAGATATTTTTAAAGGAATAATGTGATTTTCATACATTTCTAGTACTTCTGCATTTGCATTCAAGACTTAAATCAACTCCCCTAAATGGCTCACCTGTCCCTTTAAACAATAAAACAATGGTAGGTCAGTGATAAGTGGTAATCATTAAATAGTGCTCATTAATTGCTTGTTAGGAACAGTTATAAAAAATTATTGATTTTTCAAGCCTGTTAACTGAGTAATTGTTTGAGATATTGATTTGTTGACTTCAGCCTAATGGATTAACCTCAAGGTCATTAGTTTCATATTGTAGCCGTTCTGATTTCAAATTCCCCAGGAGAAGGCCTATTATCTGCTTCTAGCATCTTGGCTGATTTGTTTCGTCAGGCATAAATTGATCTGGTATAGTTCTCTTTGGAGGAGCCTCGACAGAAAATTTATAAAGACAAAGCCATAATATTTACAGCCATTCAGTCGAGGGCTCTGATTGGCTGTATTCGCTGGCATATAATCCAATCAAACCACTGCATTTTGTGATATATGCCTTCCTTACTTTTTACATAATTGATAATTTAAGTCTTTTCAAAATCTTTATTACTTCTCTTATTGTGACCTTGGCCAGTGCTTCTATAGCAGGATATAGCCCTCACAGATCGAGTTGTACATAAAAATAACATAATATATAAAAAACACAAATCAACTCAACATTAAATTAAAAAGAGGTAAAACCTGCTGATTTCGCTTCCAAATGTTGTAGATTTTCTATTTCTATATTCATGTCTGGAAAAACAGAAATTAATGCGTTGATGGACAAACGCCTGTAGTATTCCCCCAGACCATTGGTGACCATTTCATCAAGTATTTTACAAACAGCGTTCCGTCTGTTACTGGACCTGGAATTCAAAAATTTTGTAATTGCTTCGGTTCGCACAATTTCCAAACTTTTTTCAACGACTGGTTCGTCTGCTGTAGAAACTTCCGAACTTTTTTCTGGAAATGTGTGGTTGGAGTCAAAGTTCAAGGCCTCCAGGTTTGGAATAACATGGCGAATATTAATGGCTGGAGTCACGCAGTTTTTCTCTGTGAGATCTGCATGTGCTTGCACGTGATTTAAATATTGTATTTTCTCGGTAATCAAGGCCACTTTTTTACGTGTATTGTTTTGACTATGTTCGTAAAGGTCACTGTTTTCATTTTGAGCATTTTGAATATCGCAAACAGAATTTTTCAATGATTGTTGGATTGGCGGAAGGATACATGGCTTGTGGTAACTATGCGCCCACTTCCTGTCTCCCTTAGGCACATGAATCTGTAGAGGTTGTAAGGCACTATTTATATTCGCTTCCTCCATTTTGTTATTTTGGCCTGCATCTTTATGACGTGTGTATGAAATTGGCGGTAATGGATTCAGGTTCCTTAAATTTCTGTTACGTATCATTATCGCAGGATCTTCTGGTCCCGCCAAAAATGGAGTTTTTTCAATCTGGCGTTCCATTTAAACCTTTAATCACAAAATTCCAAGTAGCATTATCAAATAAGATCCTAGATCAGTGCTTCTGTGAAACTATTCTGGTTATTATTTTGATATAATCCATTGTTATAAACACAAAATATTGATTTCGAATACAAGAATCACCAACACAAATGTATTTCCACTAAACGACCTCTATAACACGTTCAGTTTTTTACAAATTTCCATGGTAACCTTTTATCACTCAGTTCAAATCCAACACAGCATTATCAAACACGATACTAGGCCAGTGCTTTTGTGGAATCATTTTTTGCCTGAAGGTATTCCAAACAACTATTATCCTCATCACAACTCAATGATTTTCAAATTCACACAGTTATCAGCCAGTGCTTCTGTGGAATTATTTATGTCTGAAGGTATTCCAAACAACTATTAACCTCAACACAACTCAAGCCAAATAATATGTTTCAATAATTATATGATCACAATGCAAATTCAACCAAGTTATCAGCCAGTGCTTCTGTGGAATTTAATATGCTAGAAGTTTTCTATTTTTACAACTAAGGTATGCCAAACAACTGCTTTCCTAAGCACAGTTCAAAACAAATAACAAGGTTCAGATATAATCAACGAATGACACACAAGCTGTGCTAATAAATTTTCCAATAATTATTATTGTTCTATGCTTATCAACCTAACAGCAGTAAGTCTGTAAATGATTCAACCAATAGACCAGTTCCTCGTGATTAAAGATGGGTTTCCTTATTTTTCAGTGTCAAATTAAGCAAACTATTTGATTAATTGGTGTTTCTAATGAATTATCATGTATTCTTAATCATATCATTATGCTCTTATTGCATATAATTAACAGTTTTAACCATTCATAAATGTCCATGTATGTACAGTCTGGATAAACAAAAAAAGACTTTTTGACCTTTCTTGATCGGTCACTCATTGGAATTCTGCTGGTAATTCTCTTCTAATTTAGCTAATTATGAATTAATTATGGACATGTGAGACAAACTGGTATTTTTCCAAATCATTAGAACACCTGTACTTTCTATTCATATAAGTATTAGCATTTTCATTTTCAAGGGAACCCATCTTTAAATCATCTTTTCACATTAACCTTATATATACCAGATCCTAAATGGCTATAATCCCATATTATATAGTCTTCTAGCAGTGGGAGGGTTAAGCAATAACTAAATGAATAATAATTCCAATGATAAAGCTAATAAATTTACTCTAAACACGTGAGCACATGAGCACGTGAGGTTTAACAACCGTAAACACTCGGCTCTAAGGATTAAATTCTGAATACAAGCATGTACTCTTATTTCTTATGTTTATATATACTGCTTAAAGGGATTGTAACGAGGTTTTCTAAATTTTTTATGTGTATTGTGGACACTGATAGTATCAATTTATACCATTCTAATTTTCAATCAGACGTCTGTGGTTCCTGCAATTCCATTAAAACTATTTGCGAAATATGCTTGTATCAAAAGAGGCCCTTTGCGATTAGTGACATCATCAAACACTCAGTTTTAGTGGAATTGCAGGAACCACAGACGTCTGATTGAAAATTGGAATGGTGTAAATCGATGCTATCAGTGTCCCCGATATACATATAAAAAATATAGAAAACTTCTTTACAATCCCTTTAATATAAAAACAATTTCCAATATTAATATGAAATACTGTTGTTATGTATGAAATCTATATTTCTAATTAGCAGGT